GACGGCCTTTTCGAGGTTGAGAGTGTAGAAGTGAAAGCCCTTGGGGCCAGGTGTCCTGCTCTTGACCTCCTTGACTTGTTCGACGAGCTCGCTGAGAATGTCAACGCCAACCTGCTTGACCTTCTCGTCGTCACCCTTGACCGCGTCCAGGCGGGCCATGAGGTTGTCGGGGATTTTGGCGTGGCTGAGCTTCGTCGTTCGCTTGATCATCTGGTAACTCTGGATCGGCATCAGGCCGGGGAGAATAACGATGTCCTTGAATGCGCCGCTAGGATGTTCTTGGAGAATCTTCTCAAACTTATCGTAGGCCTTGATGTCGAAGAAGAGTTGAGTCATGATGAAGTCCGCGCCGGCCTGGACCTTCTCAACCAGATAGGGCAAGTCATGCTCGAAGCTCTGTCCTAGGGGGTGACTCTCGTCCGCGTGTCCCTCAGGATACGCCGCAACGCCTATGCAGAAATAGTCGCCGTAGCTCTTGCGGATGTACCTGACAAGGTCAACGGCCCAGACGAAGTCTTCGGCATCATCCACATCAGAGTCCTCAGCATCGCGGTATTCACTCTTCCGAGGCGGGTCGCCTCTGAGAGCCAGGATGTTCCGAATTCCCAGTGCCTTTGCGTCTTCAAGGGCCTTATCAATGAGCTTGCGGCTCATGTTTGTGCATGTCAGGTGAAGACAAGTGGTGAGACCGAGCTCCCTTTGACAGATCTCGGCCAGTTCCAGGGACTTTGTTGAGGTAGATCCGCCGGCTCCCCAGGTGACATTAACAAAGAGCGGCCGCAGCGCCCTTTCCATTCTGTCCAGACGGACGCGGAGGTTGGAGAGACCCATTGCCGTCTTAGGCGGGAAGAACTCCAAGGAAAAGTAGTTGGCGTTTGCCGGCAAGGCGGCGATCTTGTCTGTAATCTTCTCCATTTTGTATGGAGTAGCCGGAACCTGAACTCTTGACGAGGACTCTTAGAGGATATAGTGAAATAGTAGCGGTATCTTCCTTGGACAGTGCCAGAGAACAGTCCCTCAAAAGAGCCGGACCGAGTTCCTTTATCGCAGTTGTCCGATTTCGATAGAGGGGTAAGGCGGGGGGTTGAGTCTGAGAATTTGATACCGATTGGTAGGCAAGTGACAAGAGCTTGAGGGTTAGGAATGGAGGACAAGACAAATTGAGCAAAGGGCTCACATCAAGCTCGAAGAAGGAACGTTGATTATGTCAATAGACCAGGTTTTCACTTGATTGGCTTGCTTGCGCTGGCGTCATTCCCTAGGAGGAGTGTATACATTCGAAGGATTGAGACATTGAAATGATTTTGGCGGGGCAGTTTTTTTCGGAATTGGCAGCACGTACTGTGCCTGCTACTTCGGATGACACCTTTTGGATGCGGCTAGAAGCGGTAGCACACAGTGTTTGAATCGGCCTCCTACGGTTTTTAGTTATTCCGCTGGCCCCTCTTCCTGGCCAGGTTGCCCTGGAGAAGAAACTCCTTGACTTACTCGCACTAAATGCAAATCGACGTGGGCGGTTACCCATTAGACTGGGTTTATGGTTCGAGAGGCTTTGTGTACAGCAAGAAAATCTTAAAAGGAAACCGATGCACAAACACCTGATTGGCGTCAGTCTATTGCTGTCACACCTGCCCATGATATGTACCAGGGGTGGCGCGGAACAAATGACGCTTCCCTGCAGGATCATCTGCCACTAAATTCCGCTGAGTAGCGGCGGAGCTGCAGGGGTTTTGAGAGCTCTCCGTTTTTGATGGAGCTGCAATGCAACTGCAAACGCGACGACTGATTTCCTTCGCTTTAAACCCACGATAGCGTGAGGCCGTCGTCTGACTCCAACCTCGTTCTTGACCTCCACCCTCCACGACTCCCTACCGATCATGTCAACAGCACCATACCAATGCAATTGATTCACGCGAAACACATTGGCCGTGTGTGGCCATCGCGGACCATCGCGACCTTTGCGAAAGCTGCACGAGCTTCCCCGATCCTAGCTACACGACTGTCTCAGTCGTTTACGAGCCCATCTCTCGCTCAAGCCACGCAGCGACGAAGCTACGCAGACACCAAGCTCGACTTTCCTGCCCTCGACAAGAAATGGCGCCAGCAGTGGGAAGCTTCCAAAGCGCCTACCTCCGAAGATGACTCCAGCAAGCCCAACAAGTATGTACTCCCGATGTTCCCATACCCATCTGGCACCTTGCACCTTGGCCATCTTCGCGTATACACAATTGCCGACGTCCTCGCTCGATACCACACGATGCAGGGATCCCGTGTCATGCTGCCAATGGGGTGGGACGCATTCGGCCTTCCTGCTGAGAACGCGGCCATCGATCGTGGCGTTGCCCCCGCGGCATGGACTAAGAGCAATATTGCCAAGATGAAGGAACAACTAGAGGTCATGAATGGCAATTGGAACTGGGATAGGGTTGGTTTTCCGGGTTCCTTGTCCTGTTCTGGCTGACACCGTCTTTCAGGAATTGACCACTTGTGATCCCGACTTCTATAAGCACACCCAGAAGCTTTTCTTGATGATGCTCGAACGTGGCTTAGCCTATCAGGCCGAAGCTGAGGTCAACTACGACCCCGTTGATATGACGGTGCTGGCGAACGAGCAAGTCGACGCCAACGGGTGCTCCTGGAGATCCGGTGCCAAGGTCGAGAAGCGGCAGCTCAAACAATGGTTCTTCCGTATTTCCGAGTTTAGAGAAGCCTTGCTAAAGGATTTGGACACCCTTGCCAAGGACGAATGTTGGCCCGAGAGAGTCCTAGCCATGCAGAAGAACTGGCTTGGCAAGTCGACTGGTGCCGTCATCAAATTCCCTGTCATGGCCATGGGTCATGATATTCATGCAGGCATTGAGGTCTTCACGACGCGGCCAGATACGCTCTTCGGAGTCCAGTATGTTGCACTGGCCTCAACACATCCCATCGTCGCCCAACTGGCGAAGGACGACCCCGAGCTGCAGGCTTTCCTGGATACCCTTCCGGGACTACCTCGCGACTCCAAGGTCGGTTATATGTTACCGCATGTGAGGGCTATCAATCCTCTGGCATACCACGAAGATACCCCCGATGACAGCAAGAAATCTATCCCTGTGTACGTCGCGCCGTATGTGCTCGGGGACTATGGCGAAGGCGCCGTCATGGGTGTTCCAGGCCATGATCTGAGAGACAACGCCTTCTGGAAGGAACACCACTACGACGAACCCGTAAGGTTCGTGATTGCGGCATCGGAGGACGAATCAACGTCCGCAATAGCGAACAACCCATTTGTCGAGCATGGTGTTATGACAGCCGCCAGCGGGCCCTTCAAGGGAAAGTCTTCCGAACAGGCGGGCCAAATACTCGTCGCCATGCTTGAGGCGGCCGAGCTGGCTAAGCCGGTCGAGAAATGGAGATTGAGAGACTGGCTGATCAGTCGTCAGCGCTACTGGGGAACGCCGATTCCCATTGTTCACTGCGGTTCCTGTGGCCCAGTTCCTGTTCCAGATGACCAGCTACCGGTTACCTTGCCTGACGTTGGCGACCATTGGACGAATGGCCAAGCTGGCAACCCCTTAGAGAGAGCAGAGGAATGGGTCAATACTAGCTGCCCCAAGTGCGGTGGCCATGCTAAGCGCGACACCGATACCATGGATACCTTTGTGGACTCGAGTTGGTACTACGCGCGCTTCGTGGATCCTCACAATGCATCGGAGCCCCTATCTGCCGAAGCTGCAAAGGCCTTGCCCGTAGACTTGTACATTGGGGGCATCGAGCATGCCATCCTGCACTTACTTTACGCCAGGTTCATCTACAAGTTCTTGGCCACCACGCCGTTGTTCCCTAGCTCGGGCGAAGCCAACACCGTCCATGAGCCCTTCAAGAGACTCATTACGCAGGGCATGGTGCACGGCAAAACGTACACTGACCCCAAGTCAGGAAAGTTTCTCAAGCCAGACGAGGTTGACTTGAAAGATCCGTCGAATCCCAAGGTCGTGGCTACAGGAGCCACGGCAAACGTGTCGTTCGAGAAGATGTCCAAATCCAAGTATAACGGAGTTGATCCCACCGAGTTCATCTCCAAATACGGCGCTGATGCGACACGAGCTCACATTCTCTTCCAGGCGCCTGTCAGCGACATCCTCAACTGGGATGAGAACAAGATCACTGGTGTTACACGTTGGCTCCATAGGCTATATGATCACACGGCCAGCCTTCAGAAGACCCCAACCGAGGAGAAGTCTGTTGCAACATACCTTGAGGAGCGGTCAGGCAACTTGTCCTCTATGAACGACGACGAGCTCGCCACTTGGGATGCTGACGCTGCCATCTGGCGAGCCGTTCAAAACACCATCACCTCCATTACTCAGTCCTACGAGACTGTGTACTCCATGAACACCATCATTTCAGATCTTATGAGTCTGACAAACACGCTCTTGGACAATGCCAAAGCAAGTGCGCTTATCCAGAGAGAGGCCATGTCTGTCCTACTTCGGATGATGGCCCCTGTTGCCCCTGCGGTGTCTGAAGAGTGCTGGAGCATTCTCTACCCCAACTCCGGCTCCATTTTCCAGTCCGCTACTTTCCCTGCCAATGATAACACCGCACCGTTGCTGGAGCCCCGCACGCAGCCTCTGGCTGTCCAGATTAATGGAAAGCTGCGCGGTGTCGTCGAGGTACCTAATCCTCCTTCGGGTCTGGAGGGCGAGGCATTGCGGGAGTGGATGGTAGCTGAGGTTCTGAAGTCGGAGGAGGGCAAGGCCAAGTTTACCGGAGGCCAGTTCGACGTGAGATCGCCGAAAAGAGTTATTGTAGCCCGTGGTGGTAAGACAGTCAACTTTGTAGTCTAAAGGTGTAAAGAAGTATGTAAGATACCCATCGCTCTGTACAACATAGAACATTAGAAAACAGAATATTATTCGTTAGCCTCTCTACATTCCTTTATTCGCCGGTCTGGGCTTTTCTCCCCCTCTATCTAAGAGCATCTATGCTTGAGATTAAGATCAACTTAAGGGTCCCACAAAACAGATGCCACAAATTGATTTGACAAGCAACTGACTGCACTTTGACAGATATGTGTTTAAATGTGTGTATGCCAAAATCGTGCTTGCCTGAAGATCATCTCCAGAAGCAGCTTTGGAAATCTAGATGCTTTCACGATTCTACGAAAGATCTGTCTAGGGTGGAAATTCCTCCTCTCTCAGCCATGCTTCTTTCGCATTGTAATGTCACTGCCTGCTTCCCGAACCTCGGACATTACTTAATGCGCCTCATTTGTCGCAGCTCTTTCTATCTCTATATTCGTTCGTCTGCTCATGTCTTCATAGAATCTTTGAAACCACCAACTCGCCCTCGCCACCCTCGACCTCCAAGAACGAGCCCGTCTCGAGCTTCTTCTTCCACTTGTTGCTCTCATACCGCCCTAGAATCATCGTCATACGCAGAAGAGCCCCTTGACTGGAAGCGTGCTCGGCACTGCCCTCCGCAATCGGGGTGAATGTCCAGCGGCCAAACGCCCAGTTGAGGATATACCGCGACTTGGGGTGGGGCGGTGTGGGGATCTGGGCGTCTTCGTCAGAGTCTCTGACCGTCGACGACGCCGTCAGAACAGCCTTGATACGGTACACCTCGTCCTTGGGCGCCGCGCGCAGTAGGCTCTGCAGCTTGTCCGCGTTGACTGCAGCATCCTTGGGCCCTTTGAGCTCAACCGACAAAACCTCGACCTCGGTCTGGTGGTCGTGCGAGTGGTTATCTCCCTTGTGGTCGTGATCGTGCGCGTGGTCCTCCTTCAAGCCCTGGGCGAGACCGCCATCTACGCCAAAGACGAGGTTGGCCCCAACCCAGCCCTTCTTGCTCTTGACCCACGGGATGTCGACCTCAAGATCGCCAACCCGGTCGAGGACCTCATCGAAGCGGTCCTCGGAACAAAGCTCCCACTTGTTGAAGACGATCAGGTCCGTGTACTTGGCTTGGATGCGCGCCGTGTAGCTTGTGTCCTCGTAGCCCTTCCAGTTCTCCGTGTCGATGACACTGATGACTCCGTCGAGGGTGTAGTTGCCCGTCTCGCGGGCGAGGCGATTGACCTCGAGTGCCAGGGTTGCGGGGAAGGCGGAGCCACTTGTCTCGATTACAATGCGATCCGGGCGGACGGTCGAGTGCAACTCGGCGAGGGCGACACTCAGCTGGCCGACGAGGTTGCAGCAGATGCAGCCGTTGAGGAGCTCCTGCACGCCGGAGATGGCGTTGGAGGAGGCCAGCTGTGAATCGACTGCCAGGTCACCGAACTCGTTCTTTAGGAGGGCGAGCTTATACGACGGGTTTGCGGCCTTGAGCTGGGGGAGGAGGTTGAGGATCAGCGTTGTCTTACCGGAACCGAGGAAGCCGGTGATGATGGTGATGGGAATCGGCGCCATGGTGGGCAGGGTGCAAAGAGAAGGAGAAAAAAAATGGGCCGAGCGGAAGAAACTCTAATATCGAACGAACACAATTTTGCGGCGAGAGGCGATGTCAAAGCTTCGATGAGTTGTGTTGAGACGACATCAGGTCATAGGTAAACTTGAAATTTTTGGTTGAGGAAAATGCCGCCGCGCCGCCGCCGAGAAAACGGGCTGCTGCGCGGCGGTGCGGGATGGAGGGGTTTTGGGGCGGCCAATGAGGCCGATAAGACACCGATAAGACCTTATAAGACATCCTCCAGTTACCTGGGGGGGTGTTTAAGGTTATCTTAGCGGGCAGCCAAGGGGACTGCAATGCCGAGCTACGCGGTTTGACGTCACTGGTCCTAGTTTGCGGGGGCCTCACATCACTTTTCCTGCATCATTCTTTGGCAAGCAAGCAAGCAAAGCACCATACCACTGTCACCCACCTTGGCTTCATCCAAGGGTTGATAGGCGAACCACAGGTCCAGATCAGCCCCAGAGAGCGCCCCCTCTGCCGGAGCAAGCCTGCCCAGACCTATGCGATCATAGCTCGGGACTGGACGCGCGGTCCTGCATCCATACCCTTGCCGTCCATCGTGCCACGTTAGGATTTGATCTGAATATTACTAGAAGTAGCCCCAACCCCAGCCCAGCCCTGCCAGGCTTATTTCCCCATTCTATCTTACCTTCTGGCCCATCGATGCCTGGTACTCAGTCACAATCAATGAACTTAATCCATCGCTGTTAAACCTGTACATCAAGAATCAAACCATTTCTGTCACTACCTATCGTCCTGTCTATCTCCGTGGCGCTCCACATCCCATTAACATCATCCTCCTCCGTCTTGACTTTATAACGTTGAAGACACACGATCATCGCCGCTGAGCCCCGCCACCACATTACCAGTCGCCAGCATAGCCACAGATCAATATGTCCGCGGAGCCCAACTCCCAATTTGCGCCCGAGCCGAAGATCCAGAACAAGGATCGCGAGCTGACCTTCAAGCAAAAACTGGACCAGGCCGCCCACGATGCTCGGAAACCCGACGACGAGCCCAAGCAGAACCCAATCATTGAGAAAGGTATGTACCAGACTCATTCTCTCTGCGTCTCATGTCCACAGCATCAAATCATCAAAATTCTCACTACACCGTAACACAACCCAAAGCTCCCTGTTTCTCTCCATATCTGGTTCCGTGCAGCTTATCGACGTTTCGAAACAAGTGACACAGTACATCCCAGCCGTCGCCAATATCCTTGGACATCCGCAGGAGGAGAAAGGTGAGAAGGTATCGCGGCCTGGAATTCCTGGACCCCCAGAACGGCCTTACGACGACACCCAGGTCGAAGAGTTCATTCGGCAACAGCACCGTAGCAAGGGAGAGGACGGTTTGCTTCAATGAACACGAAGCGCGACTGAGAACCGCCATGGAAACCGCCAATTCGCAAGGACACCACGGCGTGAATGGGCTGTCATTGGATTGGCATTATTTGGGTAAATTTTCACACAAGCACGCGCCCATACGACGAAACGAAGTCGGCTTTGCACTTTACATCCCTCGATGTCATCCTATTATCCAAGCATATCAAAAGCTTGACGGGGATACACTTTATACATGGCGCATCTTGAATAAAGACTCCGACAACCCCCCCACTCTCACAAAAACCGGGAATCAGGGACAAAGGTGAAGAGGAAGAAATAGGAAACCGCCCGAGGAAGTCTGTATTCTACTTCAATACAAATATCCCGTTTGACGACAAACTTGACAACTGATGACCGATTGGTCAACCATGCCAACTTCAAGGGACACAAGTTGCTCACGAATGCCGCCAAATGCATAACACAACTGATGATGATTCAATACCTCAAAGGACACCGAGGCTCCTTTTGAGAGACGGTACGGAGGGCCTAATAGAGTTGGCGCCGGGGGCAGCAGCACCGGGGGCACTAGCGGCGCCAGGAGCACCAGGCTGGCCGGACTGTGCGGGCGCGACCTGGTCCTACGATCCGTAGCCGCCGTAGACACCATAACCGCCGTAGGCGCCCCCGGTCACCCCGTTGCCGTTGATGTCCACATTGGCGGTTGGGGTCGGGGAGGGACAGTTAATGGGGATGGTCTTCTAGACGCAGGGCTCGCAGTAGACGGTGGTCTCAGCGAAGCCAGGGGGATATGGCTCTGGTCTTTGTACTCGGACGGTGACCCGGTGCAAACTTCGGTGATGGTGTAAGCGTGATGGGGTTGACGCGGCGATGGCATCGCAGATGATGAAGTTTGAGGTGGTGACCGGTCCAAGACTGTGGGCCAGGTTCGCATCACAACTCGCCTGGATTTAGGGCTAGAGCGCAAGAACGGCCTGCGATTGAAACCCCTCGGCTTGGAATCGACTTTACGGAGCCGTCAGGCACACAAGGCTCGACACGGCAGCGCTGGCTCATCGTGAGGTGCGATGTGGCACACGTAGCCCGCAACGAATCATATTTCACTCAAAAGAGACCGCCTCATCAACACCCTTCTTGTCCGCTGTGAAGTGGCCGCACCGGCGGCACTGTTGGATAACGGCCGTCGCCGCCAGAAAACTTTTGACGGGCACGGTCTCGCAACCTTGTTCCAACATTCACGGAGTTTAGAGCGAAGTTATTATAAACAAGCAAATCGGTCATGCGCGCAGGCATGTCCCCCATCAACAGCATCACTCACCCACCGCCCGAGAGGGCCTGGGAGGAGACTTCCTATAATCAAGGGATTTTAATCTGCAGAGCGATCCCCTCCGAGGAGAGGAAAAGGCAACTCGACACCGTGGATAATAGACTGGGTGTAGGTCGTGGCAGCTCTGGGTTACTTTTTGATCTAAGGAAAAGAAAAAGAAGAAGAAAGGAAGAAAGAAATTTCGTTCGCGCGCCGCCGTTTTGAAGCTGCCGGAGTTCGGCGCTAGTCCGTGTTGGGACGGGCGGTCAGCCCCTTACCGTGTGGCCCGCCAGCGATATCACAGTCAATTGGCACTGTAGAAGTCTGCTGGGTTTTCACGGGTATCCACAGTGTCCCACTCTCTACCTTCACCGTCCTGTTGCGAGCCTCACATCACGAGGGTTGAATCAGGGCTATACGGCATGCTCAAGCCTCAAGAAGTTAAGATTGCAAGGTGTTCTACCCGGTTTAGTTTAACCATATATGAACACCCGACCCATAGAGGATAAATAAATCTATTCCCGACGCGACCCAAGCACCAAAAATAAACACAGGCAATGCCGGGAGACTGTACCCAATCCCAGGATGGAATATCTAAAGCGCTGAAAACACCAAGAATCTACCCACTTGTCATAGAACGCAGCCTCCTCACCAGTTCTTTACGGTCAAGGTCCTCTTGCCGGCGACGAAGTCCTTGGAGTAGTCGGTGCCGATGTATCGTCCCTTGAACAGCCAGATGGCGAGACTCGGAAGCTTCCAGGTGCCCATCTGGCCCGTTGCCCTGCTCCGCCCGAGCGTGATTCCGGCGAGGACCTTGGTGTCGGCGACGTAGTCGGCCGGCCTCGGCGCACCCGTGAGCTGCGCCTGAATGCTCTTGACGGCGTGCTGCGTCTGCAGATCCGCAATGCGTCCGTACCCGGCCTCGAGGTTGCCCACGTCGCCCACGACAAAGACGTTGTCGTGGCCTGGAACGCGCAGGCTCGCATCCTGGTTCACGTAACCCTGCGCGTCCAGCATGCTCGCCGGCAGGAACGACGTGTTGGGGATGCTGCCAACGGTAGGGACGTATGCGTCCGTCTCGAGGGTCGTGGTCTGACCGCTCTTGTCCGTGAGCTGGAGGGTCTTGCGTCCGTCGGATCCAGTGCTCACGCTCGTGACTTTGGTGTTGGGGATCGTCTTGACGTTCATCCTACGCAGCTCGTTGAGCACCGACTTGCGGACGCTCTCGGTAAAGGGGTCGGCGAGGGGCAGGTCGTCGTGGAAGACGAAGTAGACTTCTTTCTTGCCGTTGTACTCGAAGCCGATCTCGCCGATTGTCTCAGCGCCGGTGATGCCGCCGCCGGCGACGACGATGGTCTTGGCGTCAGCGAGTTGCTGGCGGACGCTGCTAAGGGCCTGCTTGGTCTCCTCCGTGGTGTCGAGATCCTTCCACGGCATGTCCTCCTTGGCACGGGTGCCCGTGGCGACAACGATGGCGTCGTAGGCGATAGTCCGACGGGCGCCGTCGTTGGTGACAACGACGACTGTGTTCTTGTCCGCGCTGAGCGTTTCGGCCTTGCCGAAGACGAGCTCGTAGCTCTCCTTGGGGTACTGGGCGAACCCGGGCGCGATGGGCTGGAAGAGCACGTCGTCGCCGAACTGGCCGGGGACGACGCCGCGGACGGAAGCGAACTTCCAATAGCTAGGGAGGCGGGTGTGTAAGTGAATTGAAGCCTTGCATGTAACGGCGGCTGGGCGCAATGCTTACTGTTCAGAATTGGGCGTCACCAGGATGACCTTGAGGTCCTTGACCAGTGGAGCTGTGTGCTTCAAGACGTGGTGGGCAATGGGCAGGCCGGCCATGCCGGCGCCGAGAACCACGAAAGTGGGCATCTTTGTTTTTGATGATGGCGGTTGGGATTTGCAACTATTGAAGGGTGGTGTGGTGTGTTTCTTTTTAAGAACGACACCTCGGCACCTCGGCAGCACGGGAAGCTCGATGGGTTGTGTTGCTTCGACTATTGTTTGACCCTGTGAAATGTGCTAGGTTCTGAGTTTCCGATACGTTTCGAAACGTGTGGGCTGTAATCGTGAGAAGCTTGTAGCTCTCTGGATGGTCTGTCGGTTCGCACTTTGTCTTTGGCAATCCCCAAGAAGCAGAACTCACGGGCCGGGACGCAGTTGCTTTATACAAACCCGACCCTGAGTGGCATCCCGCTAGAGCACGGCATGTTCAATCAGTCCCCCTAAATCCCTGTCGCGGACTTACGCCGCAGTGTAGCGCGGCCAAACGTTAAGGTTTCGATCACATATTGTGTATGTCTATTACAGAGCAGCCGCTCGCGACGGAACACGGATTACACAGCGCCGTATTGAGAACAGCCGCCGGCGCCCCAATTGGCGTTTGTGTGTCTCAAAAGCCACTCCGCGAGGAAAGACAAGCGTGGGTATCTATGCGCGCGCGCGCGCTGCGGAGTGGTGATAAGTATATAAGTATCTAAGTACCCAGTCTCACAAGCTTTGTAATGCTTGGTAGAGGCAGGTTGAGACGAGGGTGGGACCCAACGGCGGCAGGGCGTGACGAGAGCACGTGACGCGGAGTATGTCTGGTCTCCCGCCGGGGGTCATCGTCGGTAGACGCCAAGTTACAGATCGATCTGCTCCGTTTTTCCCGCCGGGTATAGAGAAATCTCGCCAGCATCATCCCGACCTTTCCCCCCCCGGCGGGCCGCGTCTTGGGCTCTGCTTGTCAGTGATGTTAGCACTTGCGCTGATCCTTCACACGGACTCATTGTTCGGCGGGTGTGTTGGGATGTCATTGAGCACGTCTAGCTCATCCAGACTACGCTGACATGATTGGGTGGCTTTCCAACGGGGCTGTTCATCAACACGGGACGAGGGGCCTTTTTTGTGTCGCGTATGAACTGTTTTTTTTCTTTTTCTTTTATTGAATCGGCATGCTGCTCTACACTATACTATGTACTTCCGGCATCCATTCTTCAACACCCCGGGTTCAATCACCGGCCAGAAAGAAACAAAGAGACATTTAGGTCTCTTTCACAAACCCTTGCAGCAACCCCACTTCCCAATCCAGCGCCTAAAGTGTTATACAGAGCATAATTTACAACAAAATAACCAGCGAGCCAACCAGACACAAACCTACGGATACAAGGCCGAGACGCGAGCCGAGGCTGAGAGCACCTGCGCGAGCGGGACCCGACGGCTGAGCGCTTCCCGATGACGGCGCGGTGGTGCCGGGCATGGACATTGACATTCCCGGAGGCATTGACATTCCCGGAGCCATCGTCATTCCGGGGGGCATGCTCATCCCCGAGGTCATGCTCATTCCTGGAGGCATGCTCATTCCGGGGGGCATGCTCATTCCTGGAGGCATGCTCATCCCGGGGGGCATGCTCATGCTGGGCATGCCGGGCATACCGGGCATACCGGGCATCGTGGGAGTGCCAGAAGATGTGGGCTTCGGCATCGGCTGCATGGGCATGGTGCTGTTACTCTTGGCGCCTCCTGAGGGCATACCCTGTCCGGCACCAACGGGCCCGGGGTTAGCGACGCGGAAGAAGTTGCCGGCAACGACCTTGTCCTGGAGCCCGGCGGCCATGAGGCCGTTCATGACGTTGAAGTCGCGGCGATTCTGGGCGGCGCCCGAGAGGGCCATGAGGCCCTGCTGCGTGATCGTGGTGTGGTCGACAGCGACGAAGGTGTACCTGTGGCTGAGGGGCTCCCTCGCCGGCGGGTTGGGGCCGATGTACGGCGCGAGAGCCGCCGCGTTCATCTTGTTCTGCAAGATGTAGACCCTCTTCGGCCCGGCAGTCGTGTTGAGCGTCACGGGCGCGTCGGACGACATCAGGCCCGTCTGCATCCAGTGGAGGAGAGTGCCCGTCTTCGGCGGCTGGTTGGTCGGGACGTCAATGTCCACCATTATCACCGCATACTGTCCCTTCAGCTGGTTCTCTGTTGCGATCGTGGGTTGAACTTGGCTAGCTAATAATCATGAGTCAGACCGCTTGTCCGTCGTTCGTTCGTTCGGTCTCATCTATCGGGACGCTTACAGTCTCTAGGTAGATTCACGCCATCCAGCGCCGAGATCCCTCCGTAGGAGACGATGAGAGGGGTCTGCGAGTTGGGCATGAAGCCGTTGGGGGTAGCGGCCGACGTCAACGTCGCCGCCGCCAGCACGGCAATGGCCTTGTACAGCATCATTAAATAACAGTAATCTGGAAGGAGTGTAGAGTAATGAAAAGTCGCTGCTCGGTTAGAATCGAAAGTGAAAAAGAAGGGATATAGGAGAAGGAAACAAGCACATCAACGGAACCCATCCGCTATCTCGTTCGACAGGGAGGGAAGGCAGTTTTGACCACATGACCACCGCCTAATAGAGGGCGACCCGATAAGGAATTATCTAGGGCGCTCTTTGGCTCTTCTTTCGCCTCAACTACAACTTCGGGGTCATCCGTGGGCGCGGAAACATTTTCGACCGAAGATGAAACACGGCCTCAGCACTGTTGTTACAAGCGCAAGTGCATGCTGCATGAAGCATGGGCCGCGACCACCACCCTCTTTTTAGTGACTCTTGAGAAACGTAGGTTGGGCGGGAGGGGGGGCCTGTACCTGCTTCATGCAAATGAACGAATTTGAACAAGTTTAAGCCGCCATTCCCGAAGACGAGTTTACGAGGCTCTGCAAATTTTAAAGACAACCAGCCCCCTCCTTGTTGTTCCTGGCCTGCCGTAGGTTCCTCGGAACGAAGCTTGTTCCCTTGCGGACCAACCATGGGCAGCGTCGAGCATGTTCCCACGGGACACGTCGTTGAGAGCCCCTCAGCCCCCTCCCCCCCGATCGAAACATTGATGCTTGGGTTCCTTGGCGAAATCTGTAAAAACAAAGCTTGGCGATTCCTTTTGCTGGGTAACACGTAAGATGGGATGCTTGTGCGACGTCGGCATAGTTTCTTGAATTAGTCCGGGGTCTGTGTGTTCTATTCGCGCTGCTTGTAGTATTCGTAACTGTAGAGCGCAGTTCGTTGACGATCAGTCAAAAACTGCATTGTTCACATTCAAACACTGCCCATCTGTGGGCGAGGATCTATGAAGTCATCATCATCATCATCATCAATGGCATATTCTTGTCGATGGCTTATAGTTGTAATCCCATGATCCCTGCAAGTTTTGCCGCAAGACCAGAAGTCAGAAACCAAGGTATGATTATAAGGCTGTATCTCTTAAGGTCCAGAGGTTATAAACGGATGGTTCCCGCCGCCCTGCTGAGGGGGAGATGTAATGGCGCTGCGGCTGGGACAGCCCTACCACCAGCAGTAGACTGCATGAAACGACGGACTTTTGTTTCCGACGCTCGGCGTCCGGAACCACGGAAATTCTTTTCCCTCGCCAATGGCCTCCACGGGCACACATATAACCCAAAAGAGGATGCCATCTGAATGCTCCCACGACCGCGCACTTTTACAGAGACCAGACCAAAAAAACACTCGAGGGTGCAAATGCAGGGGTTGCAGCTCATTGGCGGTCCGCCCTGATATGTGACCGTCACGTTTCGCTATTGGAATTAGAGATTGGAGAGTGAAAGTCTAATCCTCGGGGGTATCTGATGAATCCGGATGAGGATTCACAACCTTAACTGTTACTAAACTGAGGTCACGGACAATGACGAGATGTGCATCCGAGTCAAGCAAGGGTCTTCTGACCCGTGATTGCTGCCTCGCAACACAGCAGCGGCCGCGCAAGGCCCGCGTGCAGAGTGCATACCGTGGTATGTATGGGGTTGTCGTCAAATATCCGTCAAACGAAGAACATTGGTGTTGAGACCCTAGCGCTTACTTGAAGGCGCCTCCCCTCGAGGCCAACCGGACGAGTCTGCAGGACTGATCGTCGGTCCCCGGCGCGGTCGGTGAACGCCCTTCCCTCCGTGTTCTGGCATGAGCCGAGCTGCAACCACCGCCTCTCGAGTGATTTATATGCATGCAGCGATCGACAACACAATCAACCGTATGGAGTCTTCCGCCCGAGCACCAGGTCACTCGCATGCCCCGTGTATCAGGAAGAGTTCTTAGGCCGGTTGGGCAGACGAGCCCATTGTTGAACTGCGAGAACCCTGTGGAGTTTCGGTGCCGGGCTGCCAACAAGTGGAGGTGGGACGTCGGAATACCCAGAGGGTGCCGGCCAGCTTGCGCTTCCAGGATGTCTTTCGATGTATCGCGCGCCCGCCTTCAAACATCATTTGGGCGGGGTGGGTGGGGGATCGGCAAGAGATCGTCTACATGTCGGGTTGCCGTCAAAGGAAGACGCAAGGGTCTCATAGCAGAACCAGACGAGAATTACCGTCCTCTGTCCCTCGCTGTTCCCTCGTCTGTCTAGTCGTTGAACAAGCCCCGGTCTTATCCGACGCAAATGGCTGGCTGGGGACGGAAGCACTTGAGTGGACGCCGTCGGGCGGCCGATACCATGCCAGCCCTCTCGACATCCGCACCCGGCTGACAGAAAGACGGCACACCTTAAGTACTTTCCCACACCACATCCACGGTATGGGCAGTGTTAAAGTATGCAATCTTTTTTGTCAACTGAGTGATCCGGTAAGCATCCCAGGAGCGCATCCCATGTGGGCAAAGTTCAAGATACCGTGTCATATTCGATGGGCCAGGTTTCATCTGAAGGGCCAAAGGAGCCATCCGCGTGGCCATATAGGAGAAGGTTGGGCTGTGTGTCACTCGGAGGGGTGAGGTGAATGAGGCAGGAATATCGGTAGATGCGCCCGTCGCTTACACGGCCATAGCTGCCGGCTGGGCAGCCTCTTCAACAGGCAACGGGGGCTAAATCCTTCCTTTCTATGAGGCAAGCATCACGTGCGCCAACGAGCGCCAGCCATCAAGTAGCTTAGAACAAATATCCTTCCGAAATGCCGTTCGACGGGGCATCGAGCAGCAAGTGCTTACTACTCATTGCGTATTAGGATCACGTAATGAACCTTGGCCAATAAAGCATAAATTGTGGCTTTTGAAAGGTGAGATATCTGAAGGCTTGGTGAGCGAGACGAAATGGTATGGGGAAAAGCGCGTGTTGAAAAAGCTCCCACGCTCCGAAGTCAGGTAGAAGATGTAGCTGGGACCCAAAATAGAGACTCGAGTCGCTCTCGGTAGATATACGAGAGGGGCAACTCATGGAAAGACCCCTTCATACTCATCTCGGAGTAGACAGATGCTGCAGAAACCGGAGTCTAGCCGAATAATCAGGCAGCATACAGTACTGGGTCAAAAGTCTTGTTACAGCAAGAAGGATATCCCCACTCATTCGGTCTTAAAACTGATGATAGATATGGCTGATAGTATTAGTTGCTGAGCGGCCTTTTTTTTTCTTTTTCTTTTTCTTTTTCTTGCTGTAACAAGACGTTTGATATAGTACTGCATATGAAAAGTCCCAATGCTCTCATTATACAGCCTTTCTCTCTCGTCGACAACACAAACCATGGACATAAGATCATGGCGTATTGTCGGATCACGGAGTAGCAAGGACGTATTATTACATTGAACAAATGGGAGAGCAAGTATTCTCTCCCGTTTGTTGAGTATAGTATCGTGACTGTAACATTTGAAAGGGAACGGTAGATGGATTGGTCTCGAATACGTTTCAGGGGCAACTCGTTCATGCTCATGTCATGATGCTGTGTTGTCCACAAGCCGAGTGCTGATTCGAAGTGATGCTTTATAGTAGAGCCCTAGGGAAGCACGCTATGCTGTGTCTTTGTCGAATGTCTTCTAAACCTCTTTTAAATCCCGGAGTTCTTGAAGATGCTTCGATGGCGGATGATTCCCTCTGATTGTCAAAAGGTCTGGACTGCGGCATTATGGAACAAGGATTCGCCGTGAAATCCAGAAGCGGTGAGTGATGATGCCTGCCCATATTACACGGATACACAGCCGGTATGCTTCCATGGTGGTTGTCGAATGGTCGTCGAAGAGTGATTGTACCGTTATCGTGGCTCTCTTCCGTCTGCAGAGGAGGATAATGAGGACCGGAAACAAGGTAGCAGGCCAAATTTGTAAATAATTGCTCGGCACGGATGCCACTTATCCCAGTCGTATTCCTGAGCTGCCAAACTGCCTGGGAAGTCAATCTCGGACGATCAATATTTCGTCAAACACCCCCCTTCTCGGACAATTTCGGACAATGGAGTTCATGGATGACAACATCGTGATGGTACCGGCGCTGCTATGCCGGCTCGATTACGCACTGGTTAAGGAGAAAGTCGAAGTGTAAGCTAAAAACTGAATAGCTCGCAACAGGGTCCTGAGGAACCCACAAACATGACCGTATAATACCGGAGATAGTAGCCACCAAGATGTCATCGAGGTGTGTTCGTAGAACCATGACTGCATCTCCTGCGGGTCCAGCTACACTACCGTATACCAGTCTTCTTTCGAGGGGGTAGATGGCGTCAACGTACTTGACTGCTGAGGGTGATCTGGCGAATTTCAGTACACAGGAAACTTGTAGCCGTCATCTTACATAAACCTAGCCTCACAAGTATCTGTCTGGTACCATGGCGACTGTTTGGACATGGACCGCGCATGGCGAAGAACAACTGAACAGAAAGAAAGCACAGGTGATATGGTACTGTGAGGGAACTTCAGTAACCGAGAGTCCTTGGCGTACCATAAGGCCATCCGCAAAACTGTGGACCAGGTCGAGATCTCGATGTCATATGAGGGGGCTAATACCGGGTAGCTACCTCTACCGTACCGTAACTGCCTTTGCTCGAGGTATTCAGGGAGGTCTCGCGTACTGCAGGAGGAAAATATGTGGTATGGTGACGTACGGGATCGCCGTGAGCTCAACATCGGGCAACCACCAAAAAACGGTTGTTGGTAAGAATCCCGATCACAACGAGCCCGCCTCGGCGAGAGCCCAGCCGAGTAGGACGCAGTGGTTCCTCTGGCCTCTCAGAGAGGCGGGAAAGAAGCACGCTGGCCATCGTAGTTCCAGGATCAAGCTCGGTGTGTTGCTATCGTCTTTGCTCCTTCCTAATTGCCGTCGTGGCTTAGCGACGACTTACCCCAGGTATAGTCACCGACGTCGGTGTGCAGGCAATGTGGTGCGCGAAAGGTAGGTCTCGGGTAGCCCTTCATTGTCAACAGAAATGGGCCGAGATAGATTTGCTGGAAAAGGGGGGTCAAGGTGTTTGGGACCGCTACCTTTGGGGATAACATCATTCATGACGTTTCGGGAGCTAGCTTCTCCTTCCCCAGTTGCCCAGCACTCCATTCCGGGCCCATTACAGGCCAGACAACGATGTCATTATGCCCGTCGACTCGCTCACTACCAAACTATCGTGTGGCTCGTGTTGTAGCCAAGTTGGGGACGCAGGAGCGAAAGGCTTCTAGCCATCCTTTTCGGCCGGGTGTAATACAGGGGCCATTTGCTGGGCATGTTGTCACCAACGACCATCCGTCCTGACTAGAGTAAAGGAAGGAGATCTGATTTCGTGTCGCAGACTCTTTGGGCGTAGCAGCGGCAGGTGGAAATGAGTATGAGGTGAGGCATGGCGTCATCACGTGTGACGGGAGGCGGTCCAAAAAAAAAGAAAATAAAACAAAAACAGCTTTGTTCATATCACATTGTGTCGAGCGTCCAATTTCTTTGGGCCCGATCAGATAACGTCAGGGTCTCGATCCTTGGCGCATCTAGGTTCTCCGTCTGAAGCTGAGGCGAGTTTATGGAGTGTGTGTGGATAGTCAAGCGAGTGATGCAGGTGGCGGGAATTGCTTCATGGGTGGCCACTTCCGTCGACGCCGACAGGAGGCTCTTGTTCCGAACGGGGTTGCAAAGGTCGTACGATGCGAGCCGTGGCAAGGGTTATAGCGCAAAGAAGAGGAAAAGAGGGAAGAGAAGGAAGCCCGGCCGTGTGTGTATGACGGGAAGCAGCAGCCTCAAAGGGGTACGGGAGCCGCGTGCCAGCCAGAAGGGTGCAAATCCGAAGATCTAGAGCAGAAATGGACCCGGTGTGCCCCATCCGCGCCTCGTGGAACCCGGTCTGGGCGTTTGGATTAACTTGGGAGCATAGTGCAGTTGCGGTGCCGGTGTGTCGTTGTGTGATGCGATGAGGTCGTCGCGCGTGTCGTTCCTTCCTCCTGTGACGGAATGAACCAGCGTTTGAGAAGAGGGAGGAACACTTTGCCAAAACGCTACTAGACGTAGGGAGAGAGGAAAACGCTCATCCCAGAGCCGTGATTGGCCTGCTGGGGGGCGTCAAGGGGGGCCGACCGTCGGACTGGGGTGTGGATGACATCACGCGGCGCCGCATTAGTGGCGCTGGGTGACTTCACACAGCGTCTGATTGGCAAGACCTGACGACACCCAACCACCACACGACGTAGTGTAGCTGGGGGCGAGGCCGTAGCTAGCATAGGCAAAGCAGACGCACAGAGGGAGAAGGAAAGAATCGTCGTCTTTCCGTCCGTCAGCCTTGACGTCTGACACATCCTGTAGAAAGTCTGTCATCTGTCGAACGGTGTGGTGTCTCTGTCCGTCGCTACGGATCCGTCCTGCCACAGTTCCATCATTTCCCCCGCTGCGTACAACCCCCCCTCCCCGTCTTTCTTACGTGACGGAGTGCTACGTACCGGAAATCTTCCGTCAGAGCTCATCCTCTGTCTCGTCACCGTCAAGGGGGTCGGTCAATCAATGCCTAACCCGCTGTTTCGGCTGTTTGGGATTTGCGCAAACTCGCGCCTGTCTCTTTTCAGATCTCGTTTAGCCTTCCGGGCCCGCGATGCATCCATCATTCCCCGCGGAAGCGGTGGGAATGCTCTCACCTGAAGAAAAAGTGTCACCAATCTCTCGGTGAGTGTCGAATCGCTGCCGAATGTGGCCTACCGTAGCTGCAACCCTGCTTCAACGCTCATATTTCCTCCGCTCCCCGGCTCCGCAGTGGTTCGGGCGGAATTGTCCCAATATTGCTTATCGACGTGCCTGGTTCGTCCTTCCCACCTGCATCTGAATAGCTTCAACATGGTCTAGATCCAGTGGGTCGCTTGATTGAGTGTTGTGATAGACAGTGATAGTTTAGACAGCAAGGGGGGGGGGGGGGGGTTACGATAAGAGAAGAGGAAAAAAAAAAAACCCGACACCCTGATGGGGCGCTTAGACCACGAGAAGAGGAGTAGGAGCGAATTACCGTTGCTTCCAAAAGGGGGATGGGGAATTGAGGCCCAAGAGAACCGAAATTTCAGATCTCGTGGCCATGCCAAATGAGCAAAATCCCATTCATCCTGGTGGTGGGCATGAAGACACCTTACACTAGGAAATCCCGCCGGGTACGTTCTCCGGTACGTATCCCTGAGATCAGGAGAGCATCCCCACAAAACATGGAAATCTTACCAATGACAGACTACTATCGGCGGAGACTCTGGGTCCCTAGAGTTGCAAAATAGTGCGAATAGCTTCAGATTTTGGCGCCCAAAACTGAGGGGGGGGATCCGTGCTCTTGTCGTTGACGACGACGTATGTATGCCCCACGCCACCCTGGCGCAGGTCGGGGGGGTGCAGTACGCGAGGCGCACTGCGACCGACTCAGCGTCGCAGACCCACTTGCCTTCTTGATCAAACGTCCACCCCGGGGTCCGGCTGACAGGCACTTCGGCGGCCAATGACGTCTGTTCGACCCGCCGATCTTTTGACGACAAGTCCTGCTTGGTCGCCGCCTGGCCGCACCGCCGTCTGTCTTTTCCCGCACTTGGCTGCTTGAGCTAGAGCACTCTACTCTACCCAAGACTGACAGTCAACCTCGCACTTTGCTGCCTCCACAAAGTCTGCCCTATTATTTGTTATTGCAGAGGGCAACCGCCCCCCTTTGACTGCCTAGTTTCGGTGGTCAAGTGCCAAACCACGCATGTCCAACTGCCAGCATCCTTCTCGCACAACCTGGCTTGTGACCTGGACCCCATTTGTAATCGCCCGTCGTCGACTTTGTCTGCGACTGCCACTCAATTTGGGTTTCCAAGGTATCCCCGGTACCACGTTTCTATTCCCCTGGCGGAAGATACCTACATACGGTAACGTGATATGGTGGAAGGCCAGCCCAATATGGGTCAACCCTCCATTGATTATGGAGAGGTTTCAAGTTTTCGATAATACGCTTGTCTTTAATCCTACGTGATACTTGGTTCGTGGGCACGCTAGGAAATCAAGGGTCCAACACACATATTGCCGGTCTTACCTCGTGAAGGCGCCATGTTCGAGACAGTCCCTTCGCTTGCGTCCTTGTCTTGCCCGTCTCTACGTGACGCCATGTCCGAGGAGCCCCTCATGCGGCCGTCTCTCAAGGGCCTATCGGCCCAGATAGACAATCCCAACACCAGAGGATCATCTCTGTCTTTGTCTGGGCCCCCGACAAGCTCAACAGCTCCCCAAAGGAGTGAGCTGTGGCCAATAATGACATGGTATGTGACTTCAGTCTGGACACGGATCAGCAGGGTCTTTCCGTTCTCGGCCAGCCCACCTCAACTTCGCTCAGTCCTATGCCCGCAAGAGGGCCAACCCTGTCTAGTCCTGTAGTTGTATCACTGGTACCTCTCTCACTGCATCATCAGCCCTGTCCGTGGCAAAGGCATACTGTCTGCTTGATTGGTCTCTCGGTCATGACCCTGGTTCAGTTACGCCATACGGTACAGACCTTTGCCTGGGGGTCCAGCAACCGCTAAGACACCGTCCACCACCGCCGATCCCTAGCGGATTGAGCAAAGCGGGAACAAGCAGCAGCTTTGAGGTGGGTGAGAAGGGTCAACTAGGGATGAGGGTGTGCTGTGCTCTTCTCCATCCGCCCGCCTCCGCTTCTCTAGGCATCCGAAAGGAAGGAGGGGGGAAGAAGGGGGGGGGGGGGGGCGTGGGAGAACTCGAACTGCGAACCTGCTAGTGACGGACCCTGTGTTTTGTCAGATGGTTGCACGCTTGCTCGCCAAGCCCACCCCATCTTGCCCAGCTTTACCCTACGTTTGTACCTACCTCTCCATGACAAGGCTTCGCTGTGCGATGGCCTTTTTCGCCCCTCTTATTTTGTTTTATAAACCCAGGGCCGTTCCTACCGTCTACCGTTTGTAGAACTCCTGTCTCATCAGCATCCAGCTACAATAACCTTTCCTACACCGTATCAACAACTCATACACCATCCACCACCACCAACATCAGCCTCATCTTTTTAAGACTACCACCACTCTCATAAAAATTTTTGTTAAAACACACATTTCCAGAAACACTAAGGCATTTGGAAAACCTTGCCTATTTCAATCCGTCGACGTTTTCGAGCCCCTTTCACAATAACCTCAATTTCGACTTAAAACCGCACTCATGAGTCCCTCCACAATGCCCGCTCGCCAGGACGCCTACTCCGTCTCCATTCCCGTCTCCCCTCCTCCTCCATCAGATATCTCTACCTACATGCGCTCGATGCATCAGCACACCAAGCGACAGATGGAGGCTGCCAACCGTTCATCGACGCGGAGGTCCGGTGGGCGCACTAGCTACCCCCGTGTGAACGGTCACAACAACGAGTCTTCCAGTCCCGATTACAGCTCATAATCTGTTATCCGAACAGTATGAACATCAATACCGGGCTGGTGATTCACTGGTCCATGCCTCACATGTCATTTATAGATGACTGGCACACTTTTTTCAGCGATTGGCGTGGTGAAGAGTTGAACGACGCTGCAAACTGGCACATCTGTTCTAAGGCAATGTGTGCACGCGTCCGAAACATCTTGGTATAGCGATCTGGGTAACATAGCATCACATGGCGTGAGCAATTTTTTATATGGGATTGTTGGTTGGTTTTTTTACTTTTATTTTTTACTTGTGGGCATTGGTCTGCAAGGCGTTCGGGGTTTGGGACTAGCGGGTGTTGCAAGGCTTGAGGGAAAAGTTAAGCTTGCAACGTCCATGAGTTATGACAAGATCGAATGATAATTCGAACCGTTCAATCGCTACAATTAGTTCAACACCGTTTGGATTTGTTTGTCATACATCTCACGTGAATCAAATATGAGTTAAGTGCTTTCTCTTATAAAGGCGAACTGAATCTGGTTTGAATCCTCTGGGAAATTGATAATCCATGGATTTGAAAGATATGTTTGCTCCCGACTTCGGCTTCTTCTCTCTCTTTCTCTCTCTTGAATCTGGATCTACACCGTGACAATGTCGTGTCATCATTGTCGCCAGGCCAGATTGATAGACAGTCCGCCCGGGTCGAAACTGTCACACCGCGGTCTATGCAGGATACACCTGTTCCCCATCACGTCTAGGTATTTTCTCCTGTGTACGGGGTCGCGGTTCGCGTCCCATCTATCCATCCTTGTACGTCAATGTCCAGCGAACCCGGCAACACGCGCCCGTACCCCTGGCCCCGGTCGGAGTGGCCTTCGGTCCCACGGGACAGACGACCCAGGGAGCACACACGCCCTCGCCGAACCTTCGAGTGTCGTTGCCGTTCGATGATTTCATTGCGACCCTGCGGGTGGCCGCCTTGGATCAGTGCCTTAGTTCGATGATTTCAATTATGGCACTGTCACAATACGCAAGGCCAAAGCCTAATCAGCCACGGTGCTGTATTTCCTAGGCAGTGATCGGCGTTGCTGGGCAAGGGAAAGAAGGTAAACTCGGCTGATAAAAAAGAAATAGAGGGGCGAGGAATAGTGAAAGAGACGGGCACGGCCGCAGCCGGTATCCCTAGACCACGGCCGGAAAGAAGCGAAAGACTTTGTAATGGGCGTCCCAGTCCCAGTTTCTTAATCGTAGTGCGGGGGGGGGGGGGGGGTTGGACCGTTCCGTGCCATTGCGCCCAAGCTGCGGCGTAATTAACGCGGTTGCACGTCATCTTCTCGAAAACGCATAGGGCTGGTGACTCTGGGGCTTATTTTACTTCGGGGCATGGCGTTTCGGAAACGGGGGGAGGCATCCGCACAGACGACGAGCCAAGTAAGGCATTGTAGATGGGGCCCAGACGTTTAGGTTTATTGGGACCGTCGAGTGTAAAATTCCTCAGGGGGGCAGGAATTCTGCAGCCACGCCTCCCTCACACTAGCGACGGCTTCTTCTTGATGCCAAGCGCCGCAGAGTAGTCCTTCTTCTTCTTCACCACCCGCTTGGCCGGAGGCGGTGGCGGCGGCATTGTCGAAGTATCCCTCACGGCCTTCGCTCCCGCGGTCTCCGTCCTGTCCCCTGACCCTGATGATGTAGCCGCATCGCCGTTAACTTCCGCCTCAGCGACATCGCCATCGTCATCGATAATCTCTTCCCCAAGGTCCATCAGAGAGGCCCTCTCCCGCGCAGCAGCAAACGCTCTCCTCGCGGCCTCCTCATCCTCCCTCTCCAACCTCGCCTTCTCCTCCTCCTCAGGCCGTACAACGTACTCGGAGAAGTCGATACCATCCTTCTCCGACCGCTGAATGCGCGCGTTGCGCTGCCGGATCTCGTCGAGTGCGTCCGCAGCCGCCATCTCCCTTCTTGCGTCCTCGTTCTTGGCCTCCAAGTCCGCCATCGCGTTCTTCTCCTCCTCGCCCGCGGCCTCGGCCTCCTCACGCTCCAGTCTGTCCAACCTTTCGTCGACACTCTCCTTCTCACCCTCCTTGTTACGCCAGGGCTCCATATTGCGCAGCGCGCCCTTAACCACGGCATAGTCGGCGATCTTGGGGTCCGTCCTGAAGATGATTTCCGCCGAGCATCTAGTGCATTTAATATGAAAGCGGTGAATCTGAATGTTGAGATACCTTTCCGCTTGGTTCGTTTCCTTTCTGCTATTGAATTTCCTTCCTTTGTAGATGTACTGCGTCTTCAGTTAGTATGCGGAGTATCATTTAGAAGGTCACTTGGAGGGGCTCAGAGTCTAACCTCTCCGCAGGTTGTGCACTTCATCGAAAACGGTGCCATGATGCGGACTGTTTGGACCTTGGGGCCGGTCTGCTTCGGTCCACGCTTGCGCGTGAGAGAAGAGGGATCGAAATCCGGGGGGTAGTACTTCTGGAGCACTTTGCGTTCGGACATGTTGGGCGAGTCTGTTGATTAAGAGTAAGAACCGTCGGTAGTTGTATCGTACAAACGGCTGAGAAAGACAGACGCGAAGGGGTGGTGGAACGTTTGGCGCAGTCAGAATCAACTGTTGTCGCAGAGAAGGAACGAGGTCGTCGCGAAATCTAAGTGGAAGGCAACAAGCGCGCAGCGGTGGCGTATGTCACTGATGGTGGGGCTCCGAGTTTGATAGAGACTTATCGGCTTTCCGGAAGAATGAAAAGTCCGGTCAATACGGTGAGCCACCATCTGCCATCCGTTTTACTTCAGCCGTTCCGCAGTGCTACCGTGGAACTTCACGATCATCGTCTATTCATGATTGTCTAACATCATCGTGGGTTTTCCTTTCGGTTTTTTGTTTTTCGTGACACGGAAGATTGACAGATCAATCTGGAAAGCGATATACCGTGCCGCGCTGATTTTGCCGAGCCTGTACTAGCTAGCCTCCTTGGCGCCAAAGACCCTTTGTAAGTGAGGTCCCTGGCGCCGACGGTTGACGAGCCTCATCAACCCACAACCACTACTTCTCCTGTCCATGCGTGTCGGTTGAAGGTTTATTCCCATTCAGGCCTGATTAAGCGCCACGATGAGAGACTGGCTTGAGCTTCAGTTTCCCAAGTTGCCCCTCTTCTTTCGCCCTGGTTTCCTAGTTCCCTGGCACCAATGCAACCTCAACTCAAAACGTCGAAGGCCACCGTGACCTGATGAGATGGAGACACCGGGCTCCCCAGAGATGAAGTGGAGAGGTAACCAACAGTAGCCCTCGCAAGTGTACCAGTGTGCCACCGCTGTACTTGAAAGAATGCAACCCCCCCCCCCCCCCCCCGCACGAGAAAAAAAAGTTGGATATGGGACCCTTGACCTCAGACTCCTTTGTCAACTACAACGTCGGGGCTCCACCGTCGATCTTGCTTGTTCCAAGTTCAAGGCTGGCCAGGGACCAAAAAAGTTGGCAATATTGACACTGTCCGTCCCCTGACGGACAGGGATGGGCAGTGCTTTAATGCATTCTGCTGCAATAACATGGGAAATCAACGCTGTGTGGCATCGTGAAGACGGAAGATACCAGATTTCCAACCCTTCTGGAAGGAGCGGCTTCGTCGCGAGCGTGTCCCAGGATGGACAAGGCATCATGATTTACCGTGCTTGGAACACTTCCCGTTGCGATATGTGTGTGTGTATGAGATCACTTGAGCGGCGGCGGCGATCCGAGCTAGCGCTCACCTGTATAATGTACAATGGAACAACATCAGTTGGTCAAGGTCGGGCAGAGTCCTAGACAGCAGGACCGCTTCTGCTGCTTTACAGTCGGTGACCGTTTGACTCCATCTGACTCACGCGTTGAGCCGTCTCGTGACACTCACCGAGCCTCGATCCACAGCAGTTGACCGCTCGCCCTACTAACCAGATCATCGCTGCAGGATTTCAATAATTTCAATCTGCTGCAGAATCCATCTGCAACCACACAACACCTGGCGTTGGCCGTTCAGCTCAACGACGGATGCAATTCAAGGAATCCCATGTCGATCCTATCTCGCCCTGGCACTTGTGAACTATAATGGCACTGCGGGTCTTGAGACCAGGTTCTCAGTTCGACCACCCACGCCCCTACCGTTTAGTAAGGCCTTCAAGCACCTTCCTTGATACCCACCTCCAACATTTCGGCCAGGAGGTCCCATTTCACAGCGGCCTCATCGCTTGTAGCCCTGGCAACACCTCGCAGGCCTCCACAGACGAACCTCAAATGCCTCTCAAAGTCCGCCTTAATTTCCCGTAGGCACTCATTATAGCCCTTGCCTGCATTGATTGCACCTCTTTTGGACCTGTCTCTGGAGTCCACAGCACCGTCATCGTCGCTACCCTCGGCGTAGACGACTGGTTTCCGCCGGCGGGGGCTCGCTTTCATCGGCGAGGACATGATGGAAAGGCGGGATAGTTCCTGTGCTTCCTCCGCCTCCTCAGCGACGCTAGCGCTCTGCGCGTCTTCTAGCCTCGCGGCCAAGTCCATGATGTCCAGTATGCCACCCCTGATGGGATCCAATTTCTTGCCGAGGCAAGCTGCGTCGACAATCTGCTTCACGAAAGTGGCATGGAGTCCGATCATAGCATCCACGTCATAGGCCTGCCGGAGACTCCGATACAGAGTTTCCGTGTAAGGGGCCAGGACCAGCGTTGCCAGGTAGGTCTGAATACAGTTGCAAAACCACATCAACTTGGAGCGAAGGAGATAGTACAGCGCTCGGCTGCCCCAGATATCTCTGCGGGAGGCCAGCTCATCAAGTATCCGGTTACGTTGGATAAGACCGACAGCGCGCCTGGTTTGCATTAGTAGTGTAAAAACCGCCTGATATTGAGCGATTGTGTCCTCGGTGACTACCAGCTGAACCGGCCAGGGCAGACGATACTGCAAGACAACTTCTGGCAGGGCTGTCCGTATCAGATCCCGAGCAGCTATAACCGACTTTTTCTGGCCCTCAAGCCGGACACTGACGAATAGCCGAGTAGCGTCGACGCGCGAGGAGAAGGCCTCCTGCGCTAGCCCACTCAAAGAGTATCTGTCGTACCAATCAGGACGAAGGGCGTCCAGCCGCGCAAAGACACCTTTGCAGAATTCGTCCGCCGCCGCCCCGTCAGCCATCAGGTAGAGTTGTTGCAATGCTTTCATGTTTGCCTCCAGTCCACAAGAGTCAAACAATGCCTGTTTAAGGGTTTCGGAAGTTGCACGGTACTTGCTTTGCATCCAGAGGTTGAAGGACGAGGTAAAGAGTTCAGGAAACGGCGCGAGTTCCAGCCCGGGTGGGCAGATGGTGTCAAACGTAAGAGGGGGCTCTTCCTCATCCCAAAGCTCGCGAAGCGATTCGAATTTGCCAAGATGTTTTAGTACGACAATGCTCTTCCCGGCCGTGAATACCTTTCCGACGCTCGGCTGCAGGAAACTGGGCGCGTGAAGCACACCGTCAGACGTTCTTCTGAGCTTGAACTGTTCTTGCCAGACCTGACGAAGCGGCACTTGGGTCGGCGATTCCGATACGAAGAAGACCTTGTCTCCTGGCATTAGTTGCCCTTCTGACATCCAGAGTCGAATCGGTCGAAGATAGACTTGGAAGCAATTGAAGAATATTCTCCCCAGAAATTCGTACGTTGTATTTCGTCCTGAAAGCTGGGCGATGCCAATCTCATCGTAAATGAGCTCCAAGAAGCGAAACGCGCCGCCATTTGCGGGTTCATAGAGCTGTCGCACGATCTCGGAAAGAGACCTCAGGGGTTCCAAGTGAGGCCTGAGTTCTTCCAAGATTGCTGCCATGCTGACGACTGTATCTTCTTGTGCTACTGCCAGTCGCTCCTCAATGGCCGATATCTTCTTGTCAAACGACAGCAGACTAGACAAAACGTTGTCGCGAAAGACTTGGAAAAGAGGCGCCGTTTGCGCCCTCTTCGAGAATGAACGCAGTAGGAAAAGCTGACGTCCACTTTCAGCGAAGCAAGTGATTAGAGCCTTGTAGGTATCCCAAGCGACGCTCAAGATTTGGTATGCTGGATCGGGAATACCATCTTTTAGGAATAGTGTCGTCGGGAGACCTTGGAGCATGAACAGGGCTTCCCTTGCCGCTTGAAATTCGGTAATGGGTACCTTGTGTTGTCGTGCCGATGATGCAGTCTTCGCTTCTGTTCTCCAGGCCTGGCTGTCCTGAACCTCTTTCAGAGCCGCTTCGTCGGAAGAGACAATCTCGAAGTCCTCCGGTCGCCTGCTAGGCGAGGGTTCGAGTGTTGATAGTGACGTGTCGTCGGATTCGCTCGATGTTTCTGACTTCAAATCGCCGTATTCATCGCCAGAGTTATCGCTGTAATCGATAGACTTCCATATGTCAGCCTCTTCGTTCCAGCCATCCTCTTTCGCAATCTCCTCCCATCTAAGCGGCGGTTCAGTATCCTTTTCGGGTTCCTTCAGGAGGTCTAGATCGCTCAGCCGAGTCTTCTGCGTCGGTCGGTCCGCTAGCTCGAGAAGGAAATGTAAGATATCGGGATGCCACTTCGTTCGAAACTGTGACAGTGCATCGAGACGTTCTCTAAAGGCATCCGCCAAGCCTTCGCGATGATGGACTCGAAAGCGCTCCTCGAGCCCAACGAGCTGGCTCTCAACATCGAACTGGTTGGTCCGCAAGAAGCTGTGGTACCTCACGCTGCGCAGTGCAGACTCGCGCAATACATTGAACCTCTCCCGGCTGATTTTCTGTGCATGATGTTAGCGACGGACCGAGCTGCATCCCATTGCTTAAGTTGAAATGCGAGATGAGACGAACTGCCTCACACCTTGTCTGCTGTCGATGCGATGACCTCGACAAGCTCGTCGGTCAAGGCGCCGAGCTTCGCAGCAAATGCCATGATTTTCCGAAAGAGCTGAACCGCTGACGAGTGGTTCCAAGGCTCAAATCACCGACGTTGGGCATTGAAGATGCGCATACATTATTCGCATGGCGGAAGACGCGTCCATTGTGGCTTGCGACAGTTGATACGCGACAGGCAGTCGGGATGCAGGGCGGAGGGGCGGCGGGCGGGGGTGCTGCCCTCTCTTCTTATCGCTAGCGTACAGGGGTGAGATTACTGGAGCAGTCGCCCATAGGTCTCGATCCTCTCAATACTGCGCGCTAATTGGCAAATTTCATGGGGTGACATCAGCCTCAACGAGCCAACGACCCGGGAACGATTGGCATCGAGCCCCTTTTTCGAATTTTACGCGTCGCAATCAACCTAGCCTAGTAGTTGCCAAATCTTCCTCCCACACCTCTAGGCGACCCTCAAAAACGACGGCACGAGCCGCTACCGAGAATTTCCACTATCCGATCTCGACGACCTGGCCTTTCCGCTAGTCATCGATACTCGCGCGGACCTCGGATCTGACAGCAACCGAAGGGTCGATATCTGGGCAAACGCTACCATATTGAGATTACTAGCTCGCATTCGACCTTTCACCCACGATGGCGGTCGCCCGGCCAGTTCGAGCTCTGGCCTTAGCTGCCGTGATGCTATGGTGCTTCTTCCTTTACCAGATATTTGGCCCTGAAAGGCCGATAGGCCAGAGGCCTGTGCGCTACGACAATGGACGGGACCCCAACCTTGATCGTGAGTTGCGCCTGCAAAGCATGCAGACATCTTGCATAGTTGGTTAATCATTGCGTCTCTACACAGCCACCGGGGAGCCTCCAGGTATTCTGACGTACGCCTCCGACAAATACGCCCCCGATGCCAAGGACTCTGCACGCATCAACGCAACTTTGCTGGCGCTGGTCAGGAACGAGGAGCTGGATGGAATGATCCAGTCGATGGTCGATCTCGAGAGCACATGGAACCATAAGTTTAACTACCCCTGGACCTTCTTCAACGAGGTTCCTTTCACCGATGAGTTCAAGAGGAGGACCCAGGCTGCCACAAAGGCCGAATGCAGATACGGTAAGCATTTGCGAATATCCCCGGCGGACACTTGCACTGAACCTCGCATGTAGAGCTTATTCCCAAGGAGCATTGGGAGATGCCGTCATGGATCAACAAGGACCTCTACGAAGAATCCGTCAAGATCCTCAAGGAAAACGATATCCAATACGCCGACAAGATCTCGTACCACTCGATGTGCCGCTGGAACAGTGGAATGTTCTACAGACACCCCGCCCTGCAGCACACCAAGTACTACTGGCGCGTCGAGCCCAAGGTTCATTTCTTCTGTGACGTCGATTACGATGTCTTCCGATACATGCAGGATAACAACAAGACGTACGGTTTCACCATCAACCTGTACGACGCACCCAAGTCGATCCCGACGCTGTGGCCCGAGACCGTCAAGTTCCTCGCCCAGCACCCCGAGTACCTTCACGAGAACAACGCCCTGGACTGGCTCACTGACAAGACTCACCGGCCCGAGAATAACGTGAACGCAAATGGCTACTCCACCTGCCATTTCTGGAGTAACTTCGAAATCGCTGATATTGACTTCTGGCGCAGCCAAGCGTATGAGGACTACTTTCAACACCTGGACCGCGCTGGGGGTTTCTTCTACGAGAGATGGGGCGATGCCCCCGTTCACAGCATCGCTTTGGGTCTTTTTGAGGATAAGTCCAAGATTCATTGGTAAGTTCTGCCAAACTAAACGCGGGAGGGTGCAAGATTAACACGCGTCAGGTTCCGTGATATCGGATACCAGCACATCCCGTTCTTCAACTGCCCCAACTCGAACAAGTGCAAGGGATGTGTGACTGGTCGCTTTACCGACGGTGAGGCTTGGTTGCACAAGGACGACTGCCGCCCTAACTGGTTCAAGTATGTCGGCATGGACTAGTTGAACGACCTTTCTGTGAGGGACGGCTGCTGTTCATATTGATTTGTTTGGTTGGCACCAATTGGGCGATTTCCAGGAGGTATCTGGGTACAATGGTGTTGGGCGTCTGCGGAACATCCATACGTGTGTAAAGTACCACGGGGTCAGAAACGGACATGACTCTGTATGATTTGAGTAGATGAGGTTAGAAGCATGTACGTCTTAAAATAAGTGAATAATATTCCAGTAGCTGCTGCATTCTGATGCTTCTATGCGCGATGAAACCCGCCACTATAGTGAGCCAAAGATGGTCGCTACTCCTGACGTGCCTCCGACGCAGAACTGATCCCCCCATCCGTCGTCCCTCCAAGCTATGCAGCTGATAACGTTACTTCTCTCCTTTGCCTTGCCGTCTTTTCCTAGCATCTTCTTGGGCTCGAATCCCTCCGGACAGGGCACTCTCACGGTGGCAACCAGCCTACCCGTTAGCAGATCCCACGCCCACATCTTACCATCGCCGTTCAGCCCCGCCGGCCCCGTGCCGGCAGTCAGCTCGTCGCCAGCAATGACGTACTTCTCCTTACCGCCGAGCACGGCCTGCACTCGCAGCTCCTCGTTCCTCCACCCGCCATCTGCATACGTCTTGAGGCACGTTCCGCTCTCCCTGTCCATCAACCGGATCTTGCTGTCCAGCGAGCTGACCAGCATGGCCTTCCCATCGCGCGTGAGCCTCAGGCTCGTCACGCTTGCGCCGATGACATCCGTCACGCACCGCCCCATGCGCACGTCATAGCTCCTCACCCTGCCGTCCACACTACCCGCCACGATCTCCGCGTCCCGCACCGCGAGCGCCGTGACGGCGTCCTTGGCCTCGTCGAGAACCTGCACGGGCTTGGCCGAGCTGGACTTGGCGTCCCACACGCGCACGCTCGTGTCGAAGCCTGCCGAAACGATGAGCGAGTCGGCCTCGCCGGCGAAGGAGACGCAGTTGATGCGCGCCGTGTGGCCGTGCGCGTTGCCGCCGAAGCGGCGCGTTGTTGTGGCCGTCGCGACATCCCAGAGGAAGACGGCGCGGTCACCTCCGGCAGAGGCAAAGCGCTCGTTGTCCGATGAAACGGATAGGTCAAGGACTTCGTAGCCGTGGGCGGCGTAGGTCTGAATGAGGCGGCCTTCTGGGACTGCCGGGGTGGTCCCTGGCGGTCTCTTGCTGGTGATGGTTGTCCCGTAGCGCGCGGGCTGGTCGTGGGATGCCGGGTTGTAGAGTCTGATGTTGCGGTCTGCTGAGCCGGTGAGGATATAGGTGCCTGGAGAGGCAGAGTACGTAACGGCGTGAACTGGTCCTATTGGAAGTTAGGGATCAAATTCAATGAGGTATGAGTTCCAGTTGTGGCCAGATGTTGATCGATAAGCAGCCTCGCGCAGATGCCAGTCTCATGAAAATCGACATAACTCACTCACCATTCGAGCCCAGCAGGTGAGCGACCGGCCTGTCAGGAAACGACATCTTGAATGGTCAACAATGTGCCCATCACTGAATTCTTCTTCTTAGGGAACTTTGTGAGATGGCATTTCTTCTTGACCCAGGCAGTTTAGTCACAGGTTTCAATCTTGTTCCCGTATGTGAAAAGCAAGGAACGATGTTCTCCAAAGTCGAGTGAGCAGGAAATGCCCATTTGCGTGGATCGGTTTAGTGCATATCGAGTATCCACAGAAGTCAATCCCTGGGATTTGGAGGAACCTGCCGCCAACCGCTACGATGACCACCAAAAAGCATGAGCACGGCTATTTGGCCGTAGCACTAACACTTTCTTCACACTTCCCTCTTACTCCTCTCAACTTGAAGAACACATTCCTTGCTCCTAACTCTAGCCCTGAAATTGACCATTAACCATGGCATCTAATCTAACATATTTTCCTCTTTTTTCTATACGCTAGTTTCTAGAGAGTAAGTCTAGATGGGGGAAGGAAGTGTTAGTGCACTGTTTGTGGGGTAAATCTGACTTTTTTGCCAAATGGCATAGTACCGACGGCCAAATAGCAGCACTTAAAAAAAGATAACAACTTCTGTGACATCTCAAAAAGCTGCGAGGTTTAGGAACCTAAGCCATAGAGATTGGGTTTTGAATATACTGGTAGCGGATAGCATAGTTGCTTGGAGGGAAAGAAAGAGAAAGTACAGTATTAACACGATGATGAATACTTGTTTCAGTATATGATGTAGATAATTCAACATGGCCGGTTGGCCCAATGGCAAGGCGTCTGACTACGAATCAGGAGATTCTGGGTTCGACCCCCAGGCTGGTCAAATATTGTTTTTTTTTTTACATTTTTTTCACTCCTTGCTTACTTATTTACTTACTTACTTACTTTACACCTTTGCTCTTCAGCAAATCGCTCTTCTTGCTTTGTCATTTTTAAATGTCTTCCATGTCTGCAAGGAAATCAATCTGCGCAGTTAACCCTTACTGTGCTCTTCTCGATTCAAGAGTGTCCCTCGCTACCTTGATATACATATATATATCGGTATACGCTGTTGATGCTCTTGATGCGGTAGGAACTTTCCCATCCAAGGGTATCTGATCTGTGATTAAAGAGACGGGAAGCTCTACAGCGTCCAATTGTCTAGTGTATGCTGGTTGCTGCCTCCAGCAAGAACGTGGATTTTGGCGTCACTTACCTCCTCGAGTTTGAAAAATACTTTATTCCTTCATCGGGTGGCGACAACTTCTCGTCTCGTAGCTCTCACATGGTTTTCTAAACCTTTCAATTTAATCTGTCCAACCCGTCAGCCTTAAGCGAACAGCGCGCTACTGACCGGGTCAAAAAGAACCTCCTTTTCTATCAAAAGTTTAGCCGTGGTGCTTACTGTGTCACATATCTTTTCTGATACTTTATGCTGCATCCTCTAACGACATCCTCATCTTGCGAGAAGCACGTCAAGGGTCGAAAGCTTGATGCCCAGGTAAATAACAAACAATGCTAGTCGTCTGACTGAGCGCCAGGCGAGGTTGTTGCGTGTTACTAAGAACCCAATTTGATGCCTCCATAGCCAAAGTCCCTTCTCGTGCCTTCGTTTTCAGTTGGTGTTGTTTGCAAACATCCCGTGGACAAGATCAGCTCGGATACTGAGTACCGGGGTGGACGAAGTCGACGCTTCACTCTCCTCAGACAATGCGTCTAAGGGCATGGCGCAGACCTCACTCGAAAGGAGATGAACGTACCAGAACATTGCCATCTTGAAGATGATGCCGGATGGGTATGCACGGCCGCAAGGATTGGGGAGTACCCTAGCCGCAGTTCCCTTCTTTTGAGCAGCGGCATACACCTCGGATCGAGCTTTGGCGAAATGGGTGGCAGACCACGAGTCAAACTGGCTGTCTACAAGACCGCGGCCCATTTTGACCAGGCATACAACTGCCTTGGCGCTTAAGTCATGTAGCAGCATCATGCAAGTCAGGGTGAGGATTATGACTCCTTTCCAGGATAGCACCCGTCGGTTGCCATGAGATAGACGAGTGAGGTGGCCCAATTGGTGACGAGCTTGCCATCAGGTCTGACCAAGCCTGCGGACTTGAATCGCTGGCCGATGGAACTTCTCACAGCCTTAGACAACTCTATGCAAGTAGCGAAAGTTTCGAGGGGGAGAGGGAAAGAAATGAATTTCGCGTTTTGAGACCATCACGCCTGTAGAGCAAGCTTCTGTTCGTCCATGTCGGTATCGAGTTTAAATCAAGACTTCTTGAGATTTCCAGTTCCAAGTCAGGGACTGGAATCTGTCTGTCTCTCCTGCTAGTGCGTTATCCATAAGGTCGCGGATGTCATCAAGACCAAGAGCGCGCAAGAAGACGCACTGAATGCCACATCAGTCCCGGCAGCGGGCCAGGTGTTCTGGTTGACAAGGCACAATGGCCGCCTTGATTTGGCATATTACACTAGGATAGCAAAAACCTCGCCTTTGGAGGTGGAACCTCGTGGACTTCCTAGACACTGTGGCAAACTCCCGACCTTTTGAACGGCAATTGGAGAATGTGAAGTAGTAAATTGGTCTTCAGAGCATGAACGGAAGGGAACCTTGCCCGCGATGCCCCCGATACGAGACCTGCCTCCATCGAATCGCAGACGGCAGTCCTCCTCGCGCAGGAGAATCTCAGAACCCTATCCTCGGAGACAGAGAGCGCCCCGAAATACGATGCTACTCGGTCGATCTCCAAAAGCATGCCAATCACCAAGCTTGGACTCTACTGTTCTGCCGATCGACTCTGGAGGGAACGTGACAAGCCTCGCGTGCCAAGCGACGCGCGGGTATTGCGAGACTCGCAAGGGGGCACTCTTCAACTTCGAAACATCCGGATACTCGGTTTCCAGCATTCCAGTGAAGCACACGTGTGACGAGCGGCAGGCATGTGCATCGTCCATGGCACCAGTCTCGCACGTTGGACATGCCTCCACGGGATGCCCCGCGTGGACCCCGTTGTCTAAGTTCAAAATTTCAGGGTCATGTGGCTGAACAGGGTCCATCTGCTCGGTGTGAGGCAAAGACATCATGTCTCTGGCTGATTAGAGTAGAACAAATGGCGTCAAGGTCGATTCCTAGTGGGAAATGACTTTCACGGTGACGGGGTTGAAACTGGAGTGAAGGGTGGGCAGGACACAAGGGAGACAGACAGCAGGTGGTTGTAAGCCCGCGAAACCAATTCTACACATAAACGCACAGTGACCTGACCAGGGAGTACCGTGCACGAGTGGTCTGTGCAGAGCTACCTGTCAGGCTGCCGTTCCGATCGTGCATCTTAGTCACAGTTTCTGTTGAACAGTCAACAACATCGGCTGGCCCAGATCGTCTAGTTGGTTAGGATGATACGTTGTGGTTCTTCTATACAGCGATCCGTGTTGACGGCGGTTCGAATCCGCCTCTGGGCAGTTTACACTTTTGCGTTTTGCTAGCATTTTCAAAAATTGTCTGAAATACTCTTTTTTGTCGATTACCGTCAATGGACTTGATTCGCTTGCTTGCTTCCAGTAATCGGGATTGAGTGACATTTACCCCTGTGTTGTATCCTACAGTAGCACAAACACAGATCGTACATTTCCGCTCCCCTTCACTGCGACACACTCTGCGTCGATATCCAGCTCAGTGGTCTCGTCCTCCTCAGGCGTCAAGTCTGGCCAGTCTCTCCATAGCTCGCAGGTCGCCTGTCTGGTGTACTCATTCCGCCTGACCAGCCTCGCAACCCTGACTGCTTGTTCCTGGTCTCCCACCTCGAACAGTAAAACCTTTGGCCGCAGCCGGCGTGCAACGTCCAGCAGCCTGGCATAGAAGACGTCGGCATGGTCGCACCCGTCGTACGTGGGCGTCGTGTCCCCCGGCACCAGAGCCAGCCTTGGCTCGTACTTTCGCACAGAGTAGCCCATCTGGCCGCGGCCGTACGTCCAGACTTTGCGCGAGATGTACGGCGGGTTCGACACCAGGACATCACAATGGGGTATCGTTGCCATGGCCGCCTCGTCAAAGACGTCTGCCAGCTGGAAAGAAACGTTCTTCTCCTCCGTAGGCCGGAGCAACGCACCGGCACCGACATTATGCCACAGGTTCTCCCGTGAAAGACGCACCGCGGTCGGCGAGACGTCCACCCCAGTGACACTCGACCTCGCCGCTCGCCGCGCAAGGCCTTCGTACAACGCGAGCGCGATGCACCCGGTCCCGGTGCAGAAGTCCACGATCCGCAGTTCCCTGTCCCGGAGGCGCGGCAGACGGCCGGAGACGATCATCTCCGTCAGGTGCAGCGCGTATGCCTCGGTCTCGGCGCGCGGGGCGAGCACGCCGGGCCGGCACCTGATGTCCAGCGCACCAAAGGGCTGGGAGCCGAGGACGTACTGCAGCGGCACGCCGCGGCCGCGTCGCGCGCAGAGGCGAGCAACGCTGGCTTCAGCGCCACCACCCCGCGCCGGAGCGCTGGCAACGTGCGACCTGATCCACCGGAGCTCGGTCGCGGCGGAGGGGATGTCGCGACACGCCGGCAAGAGGGTCGCGACGTGCGAAGAGACGGCATGGGCGCGGCGGATGAGAGAGGGGGGCAAGCGAGGCATCTACGGCCAAGCGGGGCATATCACGGACTGACTGCGTTGAGGGGTTTCCTGGTCGGCGCTGACTCACGGCATTGCGCAAAAACCCTTTTAAAGGCTGAATGGTGGTGTATGGGTAGCGTGTATGATGTAAAGTTTGTTTAGAAAAGCAACGAGGGTGTGACCAAGGACTTGGTAAAGCTTTTTTTTTTTTTTTTGCCATTGCTCCCCAGAGATTCACGCTTGGGCCACACTTGTAAATGAGACGGTGTTCCGAGCCAAGTCCAATGATCTAATTCGGGAGAAGCATTATTCATATCATCTCGAGCCAGAATACCGTCGCTCCCTTCATTTACCAATCAGTTGATATATGGATGAACGGATATTAGGGGGATTCCTTCTGGCGCATCTGGCATATGGGCTGTAAGTAAGAACACACATCTAAGGATTAGTCGGTCAAACTCACGTCATCCTTTAATCAAAACACTAGCACCAAGTTAAAAAGCGGCGGGTTCGGCTTGGAGTGCCGAACGAGAAAGACCCTCGGGGTTTTTCTTCCGACAAGAAACTTAGACGGGCGAACCTTGCCGACGTCGGCGATGGCTTCGAACCACAAAGAGCCTACGCGACCAAGGCCGACCACAGAGAATCTGGGCCTTGCAGCAGGACTGAATTATCCTGTGTGTACAGGAAGTTTTTATACGGGGGAGGGAACCGTGATATCCATATAAAGGTGCTCTGGCGGGTCCATGGAGCTTGAGAAGCCTCGTTACCGTGATAGATAGCGAACAGGTAGGACCACGAGCAATAAAGAACAGTCAACCTAACTCCGTTACCCGGATCGCCATGTATGATATAGAAACGATATCATAGTCCCCGTCTATTTCCTTCTGGGTATCATCATCATCACCACCATTGACTTATACACCACACTGCAAGCAAACCAGCCACTGCCACAAGGATTGTAAGGACTCTTCGCACTCAACGCCCCCTCCAGACAAACCCCGATCCTCGACCGCCAAAGATGCGCATTCCCGTGCCTCAAGTCATCCTGCTCCTCGCCGCCCTCTTCGGCGCCGCCGACGCTGGCTCGGGCCATTGGAAGAGGCTGCGTCGGATGTGTTGCGAGTGGCCGGACAACAACGTATGCCGCGTCGGCCTCGAGCGCTGGCGCATCTGCGACGAGGCCTGGAGGCAGGGCAAGAGCATGGCCGGCTGCGGCGACTTTCGCCAGAACAGCGATTTCTCCCGCGTCGCCTGTCGCCCCGGAATCGACGGCCCGCCCGACTGGAAAGACGAGGAGAAGCCCAGGCCTTGAGGAGGGAGGAAGGAAGGGAAGGGGGGGAAAGGGGGCCAGCTCTCTCCCCGGACGGAAAGTGGACGACCACCGCAGACCCTGCCACGGCCTCGACAGAAAACTTTGGAAGAAATAAGCGAGCGTGGCGTTCCTAATGGGCTGCCAAGGGGTTTGCGCCGGAATGCGTGCCAGGGAAAGACATCGGGGGCTACTGATACAGTGTGTTTACTCTCCTGCCGGCAGATAATCTTGTTATCCCACGGCGCGGGATGCCATGTCTCGGAGCCAGCATGCCAAAGGGGTCCCGTCACGTCTCGTCAGTGTAATTGCAAGTTTAACCACCAATATGGAAATGAAATTGACCTCGTATTTGCTTCACCTACATCTTCGGGTCCGGCATTGCCGGCTCAGAAGGGAGGAGCACCAAAGAGATATGCGAGTAACGCCATCGAGACTGACCAAAAAGTGACGGTGACTCCGAGAAGAAAAGAAAGATGATGGGTAATCGCAACCGAAAGAAAAGAAAAACAACAACAGTAAAGTGATGTTACAAAGCCACGGCCAACGACTCCCTAAAAGGAATGAGATATCGTATCCAACCGATGAACGCCTCAAAAGGACAGGAAGCGACGTAAACCCAGCAGAAACCGAGCCTGCGCCTATGCCTCGATACTCATGATGTTCTTCTTATAGTCCTTGATGAAGCTCTCGTACCGCGGGTACACCCCTCCATCAGCTTGACGCCTGTCCTTTTGGTCCTCATCTTTCTCCTCTTGTTGGTCTTCCTCATCGGTACTGTGCTCATTTTGTTCATCATCCGCATCGCTTTCTCCTTCTACCCTCGTGTCGTCTTCTTCTGAGTACCCGTCCCAAAAGTTGCCGTCCTCGAAATAGTAATCCGCCCAGTCGCCGTACACCTCCGGCTCGCCACCCTGCTGTTGATTTTTGGCCTCTTCTCTGGGCCACGGCTCGGGTAGCCAAGATGGGGACTTGGATGCCGGAGCCTCGGCGTTGAGGACTGTGTCTCTAGACGACCGCCATGAGTACTTCCGCGGCACCGGTGCCGGGTTGATGTGCATCAGGTGAGCGACTTGGTCCGATGGCGGAGGGGTAATCAGGCCAGTCTCGGCCCGGAGATGAGAATCGGTGAACGGTGTTGCGGATTGAATCTTTACCGGCGTCAGCGGCGACGGTGTGGAAGGCTCCATCGAGTCATCGCCAAAGACGGTAGGCGACGACGATGCCTCGGTCGATGATCGGAGGGTTACCCGCTGGCACCGCTGTGCACAAGGAGAGTCGTGCTCTCTTGACGATAATCGAGATTCGAGGCTGTCATCAGACCAGCGTGAGGTGTTGGCTCTCGGCGTATGAACCTCGAGATATGGTTGGTTGCGGTTCAAAGTAGGTGGCGGAGAGAGAGCTGCGTGGGTGCATCTTATGGGCTCGACGATCGACTCGTTGTCGTCGTCGTCGTCCTCCTCCTCCTCCTCCCCCGCGTCGCTGACGCTGGGTGTCGCCAGCGTTGATTTCGTCGAGCTTCTGCCGACGTCCACCACCCTGGCCGGGCCAGACGAATTTGTCCTGGCGAGTCGTGCCTCCTCGAATTGCACGCTCTCGACCCTTACGCTCCGGAGATACCTGCGGTCTTCAGGGTCGTCCTCTTGGGAATATGGCCACATCTTGAGACCCTTCTTGATGCCGCCTCTCCGATGTTCCTCCTGCCTCTGCAAAGACATGAGGAATTCCATGCACTGTTCATCGGTTGGTATCGCCGTCCGTGAGATTGGACGTTCTGGCCTGTCGGGCGTGTGGGTGATTCGGAAACCCGAGTCATCCTCACGGAAATTTCTCGGCGACTTTGGCGATTTGGAAGGTTTCGGAGAAGGCTTGATGTTCTTCATCTTAAGACCCCGAAGGTATGGTGACAGCTGCGCGGTCCAGCTCAACTTCCTCCCGTGGTCGTTCATGTTGACTGTTTGCGGGATTTCCCACGAGGAAGGCAACGCCGACGGGACGGTGGATTTAATGTCCATGACTCCAAAGACTCGCGGGGCAAAGTCTTCCTGCAAAGGCAAACACTTGGAAGGGCGAAGGTTTGGGCCGCGCATGCACCGTCGAGGGAAACTCTTTGTAAAGACCGCAGGTGAAAAGCCATCATGGTTCGGCAGCTGACGGATGGTCGGAGACAAAGAATGCTTGGCCTGATAGCTTCTCATTTCGGCCAAAGACGTGGAGGAATGTGGCACCTCTAGCAAAGTTTACCACCACATTCCTTTGTCCGGATGGTAATCCCCGTCCCAAGCTGACCCTCAAGGGAGGGGAGGGAATAAACGCCAAAGTATGAACCACCCCCGCGTAGCCTGATCTGACCATGTTTGCCCCTCGCAGGATTCGAGACATTTCCACCCTACGGCTTATTAGAGCCCAACCGTGACAGTCATGTTGTTACTCAGGACCAACATGACTGGTGGGAGCTCGTGACACAGAACCTCAATATCCGACAGGTACCGAATGCTTGCCTGCTCATCCTGGCACGTTCCCTCGGTGGGCACAGGCAAGGTGGTGAACAACACTGCCGTGTCTTTGCTGTTCTGCCGCATGAGCTCATTGAGGATGACATGCTGCGCCCGAGACGGCAAATCGTTGAACGAAAGTGCAATGCCTTGTGTTGAGTAAGGCGACCCCTCTCCATTACCGTCAGCCCTCGAGTCTAGCCTGTAACGCCCCACAAGTTCTGCCATGTCCATGTGAACATAGCCAGGGTCGGTGGCGGATGCGGCGGAAGCTTTGCGGGACTTGCTCGAGGCTTCCGCAAACGTATCGGTGAGCTCGGACTCTTCAGGCACGGTGACCGTCATCTCGGGCACTGGGCGATTAGAGAACCGTCCTGTAGAGGACTGCCGAGAGAATGCGGGTCGTTCCGCTCTCGGCGTCTCCTCTTCTGTAGTGTCCGCAAACATGATTGTCGGCCCAGAGGTACCCTCGACATCTGTCCTCGTCTCTGGCATCGGCCGGCTGGAGAAGCGTACTGCGGACGACTGACGAGAGAGAGTTGGCCTTGCCGGAGTTGCGTATCCAGAGGCGCTTCCTTGGGTCACATCGGAGAATGTGTTGACGCCAGTTGACCGAAACCCACCCATAGAACGGGCAGTGCTGTTGCGATCCAGCAGAGGCCGTTCGGGCGGAGTGGGAGGTACCGACGCACTGTCGACAGGCACCACGTGGCTTGGCCCCAACTGTCCTTCAGTCCTGGCCTGTGACACCATCGTACCGTAGGTGTTCGTAGCCGGTGCGGCGCTCTTGCTGGACACACCACGCTGATGCTTGGCCGACCCGGTGAGCAGGTCTTCGCTCTGGCTTCGCCCACGTCCTCGCGCCACCAGCAACGGGCGCCGCGGAGCCTCGACGTCGGGCATTTCGTCGTCGCTGTACTCGCTGCCGCCGTTTTCGAATTCGGAATCGGAATCCAGGCAGGACGGCGGCTGTTCCTGCTCGCTAATTTCACCATCGGAGTTGGACTCTTCCTCAAAGACTTCATCTCCGAGATGGGACGTGTGAATTCCAACACTGACGCCAAGCCGGGAAAGGTTGGATACCGTCGGCTTTCTGGGGATCTCTCCAAAGTGCACCAGACTTGGCCGCCGTCCACTTTCGATATCCTCCAAAGGTATATGCGGGTTAAATACACCAGGGCGTCCTGCCGTGGACCCGATGATGTTTGCGAAGGACGTGAGCTCCTCGGTGGAGTCTAGGTTAGGCTCCCGGCCCCGAAATCTTTGGAGATCATCCCACCATTCTTCGTCTTTGAGGAGGTCGTGTACCATGATTTGGGATTCAATATCATTGGACTGCCCATTGATGATCAGCTCGTAGGTGTTCAGATGGCCAGAGGCCAGCCAAAAGACTATGACCTCGGCCTCAATCCTCAGCTTGTCAAGCAATGCCTTGACGCGCGCCCTCTCTTCTTCGACCTCACTCTCGTATTCCACGAACACCACAACGCGAATGCTGTAGACTCGGTGCCACGTGGGAACACTGGAGAGGATGTAGCCGAGCTGGAGAATCAAAGTATCTACGATTGCGTTAGCGACCTCCTAAAATAGCCACAGGAATGCCATACACGTATCAAAGTTAGTCGTAAGAACGCTTTTCCCATCTGACAGGACCTCTGCCGACATCTGAATCGGCCAAAGGTCAATGTATTTCTTCCTATTGGCCTTGTCCTTACGCGGAGTTTCCAGCTCCTCAAAGCCCTTTCCGATTGCGACGTTGAGCTTATACCTCAAAGCCAAATCTTCTAAAATTGTCATGTAACTGGTCACGCTCATCTGGTCCTCGGTTTTAATGACGTCCGTAGGAAGAAAGCTGTCCATTAGGCGTGCGGATGTGTCACCTCGCCTCCTCCGTACAGGTCGTTCCTTGGCCTTTGGTGGATGGGAGGGATTGGAATTGGCCAAGCCCGGAGGCTTGGGGACCTTAACCGAAGGACGCGAGTTCCGGAGTTCGTCCATGTTGTAGAATCCCATGACGGCAATGTTCGGGCGCATACCTCCCAGGCCGGCTGAAAGAATCAAGTTTCGGATGCCCCAGGTGATGGAAGGAGACATTGTAAGTTGTACGAATGCCTTGATGCGGGAGAATTCCGAGATATACTTGGTCCACGCCGCCTGCTGGAGTCTCGCTTCATGAACGCCGCTGTTGAAGTCGTCGGTCACAATAACATGGCCGAGTATGTACAGACCGCCCTTTTTGACCGAGTTGCAAAACTGGATCAGTCGGGTTTGCCTCCTCGGATTGTTGACGAGCAGGATGATCTGTGGCCTCCAGAACTTGATGTGCTCGGGTCGTAGTCGCAAAAGGTACTTCCTCACCTGATGATAGATGAGGTTCTGCGAAACATCGCCCCATCGCTTCGGTGGGCTAAGGTAATGGATCAGGGAGAAGAGGAAGATGAGCAGACAGACTGCAGTAGCCGCGTAGGTTTGGTCTACGAAGAACATAGCCGCCGCAGACAAGATACTTCCGGCGAAGGCCGTCTCCCAGCTGAAGAACTTGAAAGCGGGCCTGAAGTTGGGGGCCGATCCTATCTTGAGTAGAAAACATGCTAGGTTCATGACAAAGAAGGTCATCTAATGCATGTCAGCTTATCAAGAATCCAGCCCGGGTTCGAGGGCAATGCCAATTTACCTGATATCCCATAGAGATGAGAGTTGCGATCTGGTTCAGATTGGCGAACATGGCAATTTGAGCAAGGGCATACGTCAGAACAATGGCTTGGATCGGCTCGTCGTTCTTTCTTGTGCCCCGTGAAAAGGGCAACAGGCCAGGGAGCAGCCTGTCCCTGGCTAATGCTTGCATGAGTTTGGCAGCCCCTATCAGTCCCATTACGGCAGAGAAGAAGGTGACGGCGCACTCTCCAGCAAGGATCAGCGGCATTGACAGGCTAGTGACCGAAATGATGTTGGTGTTGTTGAGAAAGGAGGCATGCGTCGTGGTGGCAGCCATGGAGAAGACTACAACCAGGTACGCGATAAAGGTGGTCATCATGGCCCAGAGAGTCCCCTTTGGGATATCTTTGCTGGGGTTATGCAAATCTCCCGACATTGAAGCCCCTGCGAAGATGCCCGACGTTGCGGGAAACAGGATGGCGAAGACCTCCCGAAAAGTCTCGAGTCCCTTGTACGACTCGCTCCTCGTGTGGGGGGCGAAATTGTCCACCAGGGTTTCAATGCTAAAGCCAGTGAAGCGCACGCCGAGCTCAGGATCGTGAAAGGGAGATCTGAAGGCGGCAGATATTGGGATGCTGACGATGGCAAGTGTGAGTATGACGAGTAACGCATTGCTGGCCTTGGCAAATGTGCCGCTTCCGGCCAAGCACAATCCAGCGCAGAGCAGCAAGGCCAAGGCTTGCAGAAGGAAGACAGTCCAGTATCCTTGGGGAAAAGATTCTCCGATATTCAATTTGATGCAGTCAACCAGGCCAACAACGTTGAGGGCAGTATTGAGAACCTGAGCGAGGTAGAACAGCACCCCAATAGAACCGCCGAACTCGGGGCCGAGAGACCTTGAGATGACATAGTAGGCGCCACCACCCTTGACCTCGCCGTTTGAAGCTATGGCAGACAACGAGAGGGTCGTCAAGAAGTCTACAACGTAGGCCGTGACCAGTAATCCTAAAGTTCGTGTTAGTGAGCGCGGTGCGACAGTGAAGGGCGTCTGTGCTATTAGCCGACGAACCAAGCATGCCCAAGAGCCCGACCTGGCCGAGAATCCAGCCGAAACGAAGGAACATGAGGATGCTGAAGATGTTGAGGCAGACGGGTATGTAAACGCCTGACACGACTCCCAGCTTGGATTTCCTGCCGGCCTGCTGCTCCATGCCGGAGAGACTCGCTCGTCTGTCGTCACCACCCATGGTGAAGGGCGCGTTGGGCGGAAAGGGGGTCGTCCTCCGTTAGGCACAGCACTGCGAAACTCTCACCAGAAAGGGGGAGAAAAAAAAAAAAAACGCCGCCTCCACGCTCTCTCTCTCTCTCTCTCTCTCTTGTTGGTTTGATTACCTAGCCCTTGGTCGAACAACAGCAAAGAGTCGACAGGGAGAAGGAGCACTGATGTGAAATTGGATTGGGCGAGGGAGTCAACAGGTGGGAGAGTCTCGGTATAAATCCCCGCGCGCAATTGCACCAGTTTGCAATGATGGCTTCGGGTTGATTCGAACAGTTCCCAGAAGCGTCCAAGTGCGGTTGAACGACGGCGGCGGTTGATTATGGCGACCAGTAGGAGGATTGTCTAACTGAAGTATGGGCGGGCCGCACAGGCATTTAGCTGGCCTGGCGCATGTCTCGCGTCCTTTCTTACCGTCTCGTTTTCAGGGTTCACGGTTTCTGCGAGCGAGGGGACGCCTGGGGGCCGATCCAATGCAAGCAAGCCTCTCCATTATTACCCCGCGTGCCGATTGGAAAGTTGCGATATGCTTGTGCCGTGTTACTGGTGATCCACTCACACCACCAAGCTTCAAGAATTAAAGATGCAACGAGATGCAGCAAGATGCAGCAAGATGCAGGCGACAAAGCTCAAAGGAAGAAGCCAGACCGACGTCATCTGGCAGCGAACGACAGCTCGGACCAGGGAGGCAGTACACATGGTTGGTGATGGCGGTGGGTTCGCTATCCACCTACCTTGTGTCAAAAGACCGGTAGGTAGACTCCGCGGAATCAATGTGTGATTTTGTGCAGCAATGGGCTCGACAAGGTTTGTGCGACAGCTTTCATGACAACGTCGTCTCATCGTCATGAATGGGCATCACTGGTCAACGCGAGAACAACAGCGACCAGGAGAATACGTCTCAAACGCCGACAATCCGGCCTGATGTTGCTTCGTCCGATACATACATGACAGGGCTGGCTGCCAGGACCACTGCTCTAAAATAAGAAAAAGGAAGCCTGTCATTTGACCCAAGCGCATGAGAGCAGCAAAGTTGGAGATTTCAAGTAGATCGACGATACCGGTCCGGAGTATTGGCTGGCGTTACCGTGGCAGGCCTGGGTGCGGCGTGGCGTGGTGTGGCATGGCGTGGCTTATCTGGCATGGGGGCTGTCTAATGTCCATACCGTCGTCCATGACTCGATGAGGGTTTCAATACCAAAGGTGAAGGGGTGTCTCCGTCTGTCTGTCTTGCCCAAGGAAAGTTTTCCCGCCTGCCGCTCCATGCGCGTGGCCCCCGCCCCTCCCCACCCCGAAGTCGCTGAAGAGGGCTCGTCGCGGGGTGGTTGAACGTGATTGGGTAGCCGGGATGATGATTATCATCAGCGCCCCCCCCCACTCTATCTCTTTCTCTCTCCCTCGTACCATCGTAGCATGTGCGGCAAGTGAGGCGGAAGGTGCATACATACAGCCCAATGATGGCCGCTCGCTTGCCTCTGTAATCCATACAGTTGCCTTACCTAAGCTGGCAAGATCCATCGGAACCTGGGCTTTGTGACCATGTGCGCTGGCAAACAAGACGAAATACTCGGTCGATTCCGAGTGGGATCGGGGATTCATGTCTATCACTCTGCGTTTGATGAACCCCAGCACCGTCGGAGGATGGCCGAAAAGCAAGCACACGCCTGTCCTGAAGAATTGTCTTCTCTCATGTGCCGACTCGAGAAGGTAGAGGCCCCGCCAAATCCGCAAGCTGACATCCTACACACCTAGCATGGTCGGGTGAAGGTAGGTAGGTGGCTGGTGTTTGCAAGTCAAAGTCGCGGTGTGAGAATCGGGCCCGCCTGGTAATTACCTAGAGTATCGAGTCACACACATATATACGTAGAGAGTGTGGGGGAAAGAAAAAGAACCCGGGACAGCGGGCGTCCAAGTGTGTTTGGTCGCCTCACCGCGGCCGGGTTGGGTCGGATAACACAGGCATAGAAACATGGCGGTGGTGTCCTGGCGGAAGACTGAACACCCCGAGAGCTCCTGCGGCGGGTTTCGGCAAGAAGACATAGCACATGTGGCACACCTTTCAAGAGCCTGGACAGAGCCCGGTCTCACATACACATAGGTACTCGTACCTAAGTAGGTACCTTGGTAAGCTACCTAAATAAGTACAGTACACCACCTACATACTAGGTACCTACCTAAGGTGGGTAGGATATCAGGTAGCACTGCCCTACACCCATAACAGCCTGGGCAGGTAGGTACCCTGGATTATGTGGTGCATCTACCTGACGCTATCAGTATGATCCACCGGCCCTCCAGAGAGACCTGCCAGATTAGGTCACCCGACCCGCATACGAAGCGTCCTTATCACGCGTTCCCAGTACCGACAGCTTCAAACACACACCTACTGAGCCGTGCACTGCAATTGATCTCGTCAGCTGTCTTACAACCGAGTCCCAGGTGAACACTCTCCGTACTTCAACGATCACTACCTTCTCCCATCATAGGCTTCCGTTCCTCCGTCGGCTCCATCTCGTCTTCTGCTTCCCATGGCACGTTGCTAACTTTTCTTATCTCTTGTTGATCCAGATCGGAGCCTGCGACGGTGTGCTTGGATGCTCCTCGATATTCCCCAGACTGGTGTCCGATAGTCCCCCAACAGCTTCACCAAACAGGATCATGGCATCTCCTTCAAGAGATCCGCTCAGCATCCCGAGAGCCGACTCGCCCTCTCGACAATTTGGCTCTCTTCCCCGAGCAGACGCCACTGCTCGCCTGGCCTCGCCCGTCCCGTCTCAGCAATATGGCACTCCGCAGACAGGCCGCTTCGTCGGCCCAGGATCGAGCAGGCTGGGCGACAACAGCGAGACGGCCAGCCTCGCCCCCTTGGCTGGTGCTGCGCCTTCAAGCGCCCAAGGCCCCGGCGTCTCGGCCCTGGCCGCTGCGCTTTCCAACTCTCTGGGCGCTTCTCCGCCGAGACACGGCACTCCTCCGGTGCGCACTGCTACTCCTCCCCCGGCAAGGCCTTTGTCTCCTGCTGCCGCTGGTGCTCAGCTCTCGAGCACACCCATAACCAACTACGGCTCCTTCGACTCCCGCTCTCGCAATGCCGGCGCCTACGAAGACCCCGAAGTCGTCAAGAGGCACCTGGTCCAGCCTACCGACGCCACCTCCGAAGACTCTAGTGTGCGCGATGGAGTCAAAGGCAAGCAGGCGGCGGATACTGATACTGAGACCGGCCTAAACGAGGACGAATTCTCGAGTTTACGGCTGCAGGGTGGAGACGTGACTCGAGGCATCTACAAGTGGACCGAAGAGGCCGAGGCTCGAAACAAGGTGCAGCGCAGCAAGAGCTTCAGCATCTCCCGTCCCGATCCAGAGACCGATATTCTCGATATCAACGCTATCAAGGTCCCCGGAGGTTTCCGTCGTAACTACTTGCGTCGTGCGGCTAGGAGCCCCTCCACGGTCCGAGATGGCGGCGAGCGTGGCGAAGCCAGCGATGGCCCTCAACCCCGGCTACTCACGTCCAGTTTCCTCGAGTTTCTCACAATCTATGGTCACTTTGCAGGCGAGGAGCTGGAAGAAGACGACGAGGCGCTCAGGCCTGGCGAATACTTTTCCTCCGGCGGCGAGGATTACTACGACAGCGGCGAGGACAGCGAGGACGATCGAGAGCCCATGGAGGACAGTGCGCTGCTGACGCCATCGCGTTACCGGAGGAGACGGAGACAACGTGGAGGAAGTGGGAAAAACAGCCCGATGAGCGCCGCGCTCCTGTTGCTCAAGTCCTTTGTTGGTACCGGAGTCCTCTTCCTGCCTCGGGCGTACCTGAATGGTGGTATGGCCTTCAGCAACGCTGTCTTGCTGGGTGTGGCTGCGCTGAGCTATTACTGCTTCGTGCTTCTGGTCACGACTCGTCTCAAGGTCGAGGGGTCGTTTGGTGACCTTGGTGGCATCCTCTATGGCAAGTGGATGAGGGGCATTATTCTCACGTCTATCGTCATAAGCCAGATCGGATTTGTGGCTGCCTACATGGTTTTTACGTCAGAGAATCTGCAGGCCGTCATCCTGGCGGTGTCTGACTGCAAATCGAACGTTCCCGTCAAGTGGTTGATCCTCCTGCAGGTCCTGGTCTTCCTGCCCTTCTCTCTTTTGCGAGACATTGAGAAGCTGAGTTTCACTGCTCTGATTGCGGATGCCTTCATTCTGCTCGGGCTGGCCTACTTGCTCTACTACGACATTCTCACCTTGAGTACCAATGGTTTGTCGGATATAATCTTGTTCAACCGCAACGACTGGACCTTGTTCATAGGCACCGCTATCTTCACATTTGAAGGGATTGGCCTCATCATTCCCATCCAGGAGTCGATGAAGAACCCCAAAAAGTTCCCTGGCGTCATGCTAGCGGTCATGATTATTATCTCGGTCGTCTTCATCGGTATGGGTGCCATCTCCTACGCCGCCTACGGATCCAAGACGGAGACCGTGGTGTTGCTCAACATGCCTCAGGACAACAAAATGGTCAACAGCGTCCAGTTTCTCTACTCCATTGCCATCATGCTGTCGATCCCGCTGCAGCTTTTCCCTGCCATTAAAATTACTGAGAATGCATTGTTCACCAAGAGCGGAAAGTACAACCCTTACATCAAATGGCAGAAGAACCTGTACCGCTTCTTCTTTGTCATCCTCTGTGCAGTCATTGCATGGGGTGGCGCAGATGACCTGGACAAATTTGTTGCCCTCGTTGGCAACTTTGCTTGCATTCCCCTTGTCTACATCTACCCGGTCAGTGCGGACAAGATCTCCTTTTTATATGCCTTCGCTAACCAGAAAACAGCCCCTACTTCACTACAAGGCGGTCGCAAAGAACAAACTTTGGAAGATTTCTGACATTGTGCTCTGTGTCTTTGGATTCATTGCCATGGCATACACCACCACTTTGACTGTCTACAGCTGGGCTGGCGGTTCCAGCGAGCCTAGCCCTCCAGCATATTGCGACCGCAGGGGGCACTAAACTGGCAAGGAGGCCGGTGCAGAAGCGCATACAATCACCGAATTTTTTTTTGTATGATGAAAGTGCTAGCCGAAAAGCGTTGGGCAGTCATTGCATGGATTCCAGCGGATTTTCTTCTTTTTCTTCTCAGTCTTTCAAGAGGTTTCAACAGCATTTGTTGGTCATCATATGAGCGTGGGCTTGTAAATAGACTGAAGAACAGACGGCTCATCGCCACATTTATAGTTCTGTATGTGCATACGTAGCAAAAGATTCTGATCTAACAACAACATGCGGTACTCTCACATGGGCATGCTAAACAAAGATTGGTGAATGGCTTGATCCTGGTGGTCCATGAACTTGATGGTTTCTATATGGTAGCTGTTGGCGTGGGCAGACGAGCGCACCGCCACACCCCGCTTGTAGATGTGTGGCGCAGCTCACCTGCCTTCACCTCGGTGGGTCCACTAATGGCTTCCACCTTTCATCTATCGACCTCTCAAGCATGCCTAACCCGCCGCCTATTTCACTCACCAACCATCTGTCATCCCACAACACCGTTGTACACCAAGTCGCACCCGCAACAAGAGGGTGAATTCCTGGAACAACACAAGGAGCCAGCATACTCACAAGTCTCCTAGGATCTCACCGCTCGCTGGTGCTTCAATCGTTTTTGATTGCGCGTCTTCCTTATATTCGTTGTTGAACATCACCACTGGCTTGACCTCACTATTCCACATTCTAACTCGCCAAGATGAACGCCCCTGATCGGTAAGTCAAAGTTGGCATCATGAAACTCTTTGGGGTCATTGGGAACAGTGTAGTCTGGCTGGTCAAAACGTCAGTACTACTAAGCCGCTGCGGCTTGACACGGAAAGAGCACCCGTCAGGCTGCTCATGGACCTGGCTGGCTGTGGCTCTCGATGGCTTCACGGTCTGCGCTCTCTGGTCTTTCCTGACCAAGTTCCTTCCTGACTTCTTGTCTTTCCATTTCTCTACTTGATTTCCTCTTCAGACCTGTGCCCTCCCACGAATATTGCAATCACCACATCAACTCAAACTACCAACTCCCTCAAGCATCAAATCATCATCAGCACTTCTGAATATCGGAAATCGCCATGCCTCGTCCTTCAGAGGCTACCGTCACCCCGTGCGAAGTTGCCTAGCTTGGAAAAGAAAAGAAGAAAAGACATGATGGACCCTGAGGCTAATCCGTCTCCAGCTTCGAGCTCTTCCTGCTCGCCGATGGCGAGAAGAAGATTGAGGAGAAGGTTTTTTCCGGTACGTCTCTTAAACCCTTGCCGCGGTGAATATTCGACTCGGATGAACTGAACAGCGTACAGGCATGTCCAACACTTCCGACTTCATAATCAAGAAGGAGGACCACACCCTCGGTAACCTCTTGTCCGAGCACTTGAAGATGCACAAGAACGTCCTCATGGCGGGCTACAAGAGTATGTCACACAATCCTTTTAGGAGTCACCTAAACTGACTGGTTTCTAAAGTCTCTCATCCTAATGTTCCTGAGATGTTCATTCGTGTCCAGACGGATGGCTCGATCACCGCCAAGGAGGCACTCGTCCAGGTGATCAAAAAGCTGATGCAGGACCTGTCCCACCTCAGCCGCGAATTCACCCGTGAATTTGAACTGCGTCGCATGGTCGAGGCGGGCCGTTCCAACCAGCAGGGCCAGTGAGTCGAGCTCTGCTGTCGAACCATGAATGAGTTTACGACTCATCGGATTTGTTTTTGTCGGCGTTTGGGGCGGACATGGTCACTAAGGAATAACGGTCTGATACCAAAAGTTGGCATGGGAAAAACTGTCAAGTGGTTTTCGCATTCGTAGATTTATCTCCCGACCTTGAGACGACGGAAGATGGCTCTCGCATAAGAAGCTGATCTTTGCGAATTACGTCATCCACTACGCTATGCCCCAAGGCCTCTACTGTGACATCTGTGACAGGTTATGTCCAGTTCAAACATGATTCTGCTTCGTGAAATATGCTGACTGATTGGGTTTCCTCGAAGCCAGCTCTCATACTGCGTTCCGTTCGGATGTTCCGTGCGAATGGCTCCTGCGCGGCAGATCTTGTCCTCCATAGGATTCAAATGTGCTGCCTGAGACTTTCTATAGGCTGGACGTTTGCCTCTAGCCCGATGCTGTCTTTTGCCCAACTGTGCCTCATGCGTTCACTGGTCCCTCCCCTCCAGGAATAAGCTATTGCCCGGTCAGTCTTGTGAAGCTGAACGCCAGAATAACGTGAATACTACCATGCAAATGTTGTTGCCGTTCAGAAGAATCTTGGGCAGCTTCGTGTGATTCCCCGAGTAGTCGCTGGCCTGGGCTTAGCATGGGTAGCTCCATCTCATAAGAGTGGCCACCTACAATTCTGTGACATCCTCCAAAACCATGTCTATGAGTTCGTTAGTTATGTTGCAATGAGTTATCGGATTGAGCTTGTGGTTCACTCACTGACGTAGTCATCGAAACCGAGGAGTGTGCCACTGAACTCTGCCCGTCCCATCAAGTCAGTATCAGGATTCGCATGAGCCCGGACGGGACCGCCATACCCTTGTCGCCCTTCATGACAACCCAGATTCTAGATCCGACACACTTGTCGATCAGTTCTAAGCTGGTCAGCTACTGCGCGCGTCGACATATCGGCTCGCCCACTCACCCAGAGGGAGGAGTTGTGCCGCCATTCTGCCGCTCAAATTTCGTTTACTGGGGCAGGTGTACAGCAGTTCCGCTCTTCAGATTCCTTTGTGAAGTATCGCCGGGATTATTTTCGTCAGAAGGGGTTGATACCGATCTCAGTACCGATATTCTTGTCGGCGGCCAATTCGTTTCTCGGGCCTTGAGATGATGGGACGCCGCACACAAGGGCACGGAGGGGTGAACGTAGGAGCGATGTCAGGTGACTGCGCGACCACTCATTGATGACTAAGCAGCCTTACCACTGAGGTCCCGCTTTCCGCGTCACGAATCACTTAAAGCTTTGCTCCAATTTAACCCCCTCCATCGTTTACACGACGCGTCTGCCTAACAAAAAACGTATCTTCACTTGTCGCGCCAATGCCCGGTGGCAAATATGGCGCTTCACTGGCTTTCCGATACCTGCCAGCGGCAGTGATAAAACTTCCTAGACTCAGCAGCTCACTACTATATCAATCCCGTTCGTTGCTGCAGCCGCTCGTCTATATGTGCGTCGCTTCTCCGTTCTGTTCACTTTTCGCTCTTGACTGACGCCGTTACGATTCATAGACGCTGCAGATCGACCATGTACCCTTCCTCTTACCGCAATCTTTGGAACCCCCGCCATGGCATTGCGTTCGCCTCGGCGAGGCAAGACGAGACGTCGCACCCGCGGGTCGACATGCTACGTTCTCTACATACAACTGGACCAGCTGCCAACCAGACCAATGCAGCAGTGAGATCGGACGAGGAATTTTTCGAATCAGACGATGACGTACCTTTCTCTACGCCTCCGGAATACCAAGAGACGTTGGACACAACGCCCATCAGTCAACCATCTAGATCAGGCGTGAACGGTGTCATAAAGGGAAGTGAGGGTGCAGCCACGAGCACTGAGGACACAGGGCCTGCAGAGCTTTCAGAGCCTCCGTGCACGAACTTGGAATTCAAGATCTCTCTGAAGGATTTCCACGAAGCCCAGAGCGCCGCGAAAGAGTCTGCGAAGTCGTTCTGGTCATACACACTCTACCGAGGTCCTCCTGAGGACGGCGTCGAGAAGAAGGTTAAGGTTCACTACTGCAAAAGCAAGCACACGATGGAGAGAGTGTGCCAGTACTTTGTGAACGATAAGGTGCTCGGAGTCGATCTCGAATGGTTCCCAGATGCCAGGAAAGATTCGGGCCCGAAGAAGAATGTCTCCCTGATTCAGGTCGCCAACGAGAGCCGGATAGCGCTCTTCCACGTCGCGTTGTTTCCCAACGATGACTTTGTAGCGCCGACTTTCCGTAAGATTATGGGAAACGCCGACGTGAAGAAGGTCGGCGTGGCTATCAAGGGGGATTGCACGCGGATGCGGACCCACCTGGGCGTCGACACGAAAGGCATCTTTGAGCTCAGTCATCTGTACAAACTGATCAAATACTCGGCGAATGGGCGGGTGGACCTGATCAACAAGAGGCTAGTAACTCTCGCTTTACTGGTCCAGGAACACCTGGGCCTGCCCATGTTCAAGGGGTCTGACGTCAGGTCGAGCGACTGGTCACAGCCCCTCAACATGAGCCAGATAATGTGTAAGTGTTTTTGTGGTAGTCTTTTGAAATATGCCTTTTGCTAACTCCATCTAGACTCCGCTTCAGATGCGTATGCCGGGTTCCAGTTGTACCACGTCCTTGAGGAGAAGCGTGAGAGCCTCGACCCTACCCCGCCACGGCCGCACGACGCCGAGCTGAATCTACCCATCGGGCTTGCGGACGGACAATTCATCGCAGCGGCAGATGGGAACGCAGAGACTATTGATTCCGATGACCGCGGCACAACTACAGCCCTGTCATACAAGCATGTCGAGGCTATCAAAGCGAGTCTCGAAATAGAGCCTGAAGGCGGAGGGCAGTCGATTGCCGAAAGCGTCAGGTCCGCGCCAGCTGTTTCTCCCCAGCAACGTCAGAAAGACCCCAGAGTCGCTGCTGCCGACGAACAGCTGGCCAGGTACCGCACCACGATCAAGACTCTACGCGCCACGCCGTCCGCCGTGCGGTCATACTACATCTGGAGGAACAACGCGGGTCTCGCACCCGACGCCATCGCAAAAATCCTGCGGGACCCACCGCTGCAGACGAACACGGTGGTGAGCTACATTCTGGAAGCGATCAAGCTAGAGAAGCTTCCGTTCGACAAGAAGAGGTTGCGGAACGAGATTCTGCATCTTCTGCCAAAGGAGGTCCTCATGGGCAGGTACAAAGCCTTGATGTTGGAGGCTCACAAGCCCGACACCGACACGTCGTCGGTGGCTTGATCGACGCGCACGCGCATAACGTGGAGGGAGGGGGGGTGGCGAGTCCATCAGTCGAAAGGGAGGGGGGAAGTTGCTCTTAGTTCAGCATTGGATTCACCGTAATAAAGATACCCGCATTGGTTACGATTTAGACACCGCTCCCCACTGTCACGAGACTCCCATACCCGTGAACGCCCACCTCCAATACACCGCGATTAGCCACAGGTTCTTCACCGCCGCGTCAAGCTGCATATGCCGGACCCCACGTCGGCCGATGAGGGTGTGGAGGTCCTGCAGACGGGATTTAGAACGAGTTCGCGGACTGCTCTCCGCGGGCAGCCATTGGGCGCCGCTCTGAACTTGGGACGGGCGCTCAGCTGCGAGCTCCGGGCGTGGCTACGCTCTCTGATGGGCGCGGCGCGTAGGCTGTGGCTGGCGGTCTGGGAGGAGGTTGCGCAGGAAGGCGGCCGGGCTCTCTGGCGGCTTCGGCGCACCTGTTCGGGGGCGTCGCCAAGTTTCCCAACCCGTCACGGCAAGACTTCATTTCATCGTTGGATGAGGAAGCAATGTGGCTCGTCCATGTTTGCACAAGAGGTTGCCACGAGGAGGGGGGGCACAGTGCCAAAAAAGCAAAGTAAGTTCTTCAGTCGTCTGCGGCCGTTGCTGACAGAAAGTAATATCTGCGTGTGTATCTCTCTCTAAGCGGCACATCGTCTCAACTCACCCACGTGATGTTATAAAGCGTTGAAGATAGGCCCATTCGTCCGAAGTCGGTCTTTCGTAGGGCTGTCTTGTCTCGATAGCTCTCTAGGCTGTAGACGTCCGTCTCGGACGTGCAGCGACATTGCGACCGCGCTCGGCCAGATTCGACGGTGCGGCTGCGGCTGCGTCCGCTTTCCGCGAATCTTCAGGAGGCTTCTGCTGCAGGGAAATAATGGGGCTCGACAGGGTCGGCGTCGGTCTTGTCTGTGCCCGAGCTGCGGCGTGCGGCTTCATTGACAATCCCATGGCTCGATGACAAGGGAGACGGTGTTTCTCAGAAAAGTATGCCTAGGCCTCCATGGACCCGCGTTATATGTGCCCGTAATTGGTCGGAACGATTCATCTTGGTAATAACAGCATCCAGAGGGCTCTCGTATGGAGTATGCCTGGACGTTGAGCAAACACAGGCAACATCAAAAAGCTTGTGCGGATGCAGCCAGCCGATCGACCATGGAAGGTGAAGGCTTGTCGCGACAGCTAGTATATGGCCAAGCCACCCCAAATCAAAGCCGCCAGGCGGGCCGGTTTGTGAGCCCAAGAACGATCATCGGGCATACCAAGTGGAAAAACCAACAGCGATGGGAGCAGCAAATGAGTGGCACCATGTGGGGCGAATAGAAGCTCAAGCCAAACCCAATTCGCACCGCATGTCGTCGGCCGTTCTCGAATTTTCGAGATGGCGAGTGTCTAGAGCTGACGATGTCGCTCTCCGTCTCAGAATGGGAGTCATAGTGTTGTGGTGAAGCTGAAGAGAAGCGTGGAGAGGATGGCAAACCGGGGGAGAGAGCTGCTGCCTCGATTCGTGAAAGCTCCGTAGGTAGACTTGACGATTCGGCGATCCGCTTCTCTGGGAGGCCCGCGTTGATCCAAGTGCAGGCATCACGTCGATCGTAGCGAGGAGAAGTAAAGGAAAGAGCACCAATGGACAAACAAAGGTTGCATCAACGCGACCCGAATTGTGGGCTGG